CGTAGTAGAACACATGTACCTACTACTCTCTGGTCTGAACAGGGATTGCAACAGTGTGCAATGTGCTGTGCAGAGTTGCACATGTGATCAGCGGTCCACGTATTATGGTCCTTCTCAAACCAGCTGCGAAATGAGATACCGTAAAAGCCCGTGTATAGGCCCCCGGGCGTATAGAATAGCAGACTCGATTTCCTGGGCGTATACAAGGGCACGGGCGTTATTTTTGGAACCGGGCGTATACAGTACTTGGAATAGGGATAGCAGTAAGTATTGGGTATCAGTACCTGTACATGTACTGGTATTGCTGGCATGGCAGGGCGTATACATGGGCATAGGCACTATTTGGAAACAAAAGTGTTGACTTCCCCTGACTGGGCGTGTACACGGAGGGTGGGCGTAATTTCGAGCGGGCGTATACAGGGGCTTTTACGGTAGAACTTTTGAGGGGGGTGCTTTGGCACCCAAAGCACCCCCTCCCCCTCCCCCTGCCTATGCCCCTGAGTAAGAGCCCCTCGCCTGCACATTTCGCTGTTCTACAACCACTTCAATTCAGCGCACCACACATGAAATGGTTCACGGGAATGCCGCCAGGAAACTAACCACACCAACATACCCTCTCCGGTTGGCTGAGCGCCGCCAGCATTATGCGGACTGCTAAGAAACTGGCATCATTCAACAGACCGGTAATATGCAGGCGCGTGCGCCGTGTGGGTTCCTGGGTGCCCGGAACCCCCCCTTTTTTCGCTCAAAATGCAGGATTTTGCTTCATTTTGTGAAAATTTTACCGGAGGAGGACCCCCGCAACCCCCCCCCCCCCTTGAAGGGCACGGCGCACGCGCTTGATATTATGGGAGTCCTGATTGATTCACTGGCTTGCTTTAATACCGCTCTACAATACATGTATATTGTTGTTGTTGGTTGACAGCATGTGTGAACTAAACACAAGGTTTATGTAATACCATGCATATTGTTCCAGTAGAAAAGTGACTGCTCCTGCCGCTGTGATTGCCTACTGAGTTCGATATGTACCATGCAAACTGGGAATATCATCCATGCGTGTGTCTCCACATTATGACGGTGAGAGGAACGGGACAAGTGATTTTAAAATTATTTTTCATTCAAGTCTCACTCACCTTTGATTTCCCTGTTGTCAGGAGTTGTAGTGAAGAAACGACGAAGAGATGGCATGGCCATGGCTCCTCGTCGACTACAGGCTGCAAGAGATACCGTACGAGAGAGTACACTGGAAGCAGCTGGCTTTCCCCCAACACTGTTTGTGAGATAACGAGGTTGTAGCCGCACACAAAGACGATGGAGCATGGTTCATAGATTTCCAGAAATACTTGACTCCAACAAACTCCACTTGACTGTACTGACTGTACTCGATCGTATGCATGTTCGAAAAGTGCAATTTTAAAAAATTGAGAAAAATGAATGCTGTGGCTGCATAAGCGCAGCGCCGGGAAGGCGGCGAAGGACTAAAGGGACCGTCACTTAATTTTTGCCGACTACCCGCCAAAAAAATCTTTTCGTTTCACGTGTCACTGACACGTCCGCGGACCGCGAGCGCGTACGACTCGTACTCGCGCTACCTTTCACGTCAAGCAATCTGTTCACGCCACATGGCTGGATAGCGCGTAAACATGATTGAAGACTTGCAAAATCAATTTTTTCCAAGTCCAGGCGCTAGGCCTAGGCAGTACTAATGCCTAATCAATGCCCAGGCAGCTGACTTTATTTTCGGAGAAACACCACTCCTTGTAGTAAAAAGTAACAATGAATAGCGATATCATCTAGGAAGGATCGCTACCCTAACGCGAAGGAAAGGCCTTGCGCGGCTGCTCTACGAAGTGTTGAAGAAAGACTCATCAAATTTAGTTGGTGGACGAACAACTCGCTGGCGCCGGAAAACTTGGCCCCCAACGATGGTGTTTGGTGAATCATCAAGCATAATGTCTTGTAGCAGTGTTCACCGAGGAAGGAGAACGCTCTAGACTAGTCGCTGCTGTTGTCCGTTTCATCCACGTTGGGCGTTAGCTGCACCGCGCCTATTGTGTTTTAGTATTCCATGGACACACATTAGCATTCAGAGCGATTGTGGAGCCACAATTTACTTCACACAGCGTTGTATTGTCCACGAGCGCAAACTTAATTATCAGCAGTAACTGTTACTCTTCATCCTACATGTAGACTTGGAGTATACACGGCCTTGTCACGACAGCGACAGCTCTACAGATCATGCAGAGTGTTCAAGTGAGAAACATTAATTTCTATTGTTGGTGGACAAATAAATGGCTGGTTCCGAAAAAACGCGGCCTGCACCGATGGTGTTTGGTGGATCATCAAACAGGGTGACCAGCAGTGTTCACCGAGGAAGGAGAATGCACTCGCCACCACTGCGATTCATCCAAGTGGGCGTTAGCTGCGCCGCGCCTATTGTGTTTTAGTATTCCATGGACGCACACTAGCGTTCTCAGCGATTGTGGAGCCACAACATATCTTCATGCGGCGTTGCACTGTCCAAGAGCAGAAACGTCAGCAGTGACCCATCATCATACATGTAGATTTGGAGTATACACACCATGCGCCAATGGGCCTCGGCACAACAGCGGCAGCTCTACGGAGTGTTCAAGTGAGTAACATTTGTTTCGACTTTTGGTGGACGAACAAATCGTCGGTGCCGAAAAACGTGGCCTGCGCCGATGGTGCTTGAAACATCAAGCATGGTATGTGGTGACTGTCAGTGTTGATCGAGGAAGTAGAACACTCAGGCCGTCGACCGTTCATCCATTTCGTTAGCTGCACCAAGCCTATTGTGTCCTTGTATTCCATGGGCACACAATCATGAAGCATGGCGTCTGAGCTGTGTTCACAGAGCGGGGAGATGCTCTTGCTGCTATCTTATCTGTCCTGTGTATTCCCAAGTGCCGAAGGCTCACAACGATGGTGTTAGACAAGTCAGATAAAATAGAGTCAACGTAAGTACGCATGTGTACTCTTACTGACTGAAACATAAGTGGGGTGTAAGAGCTAATTCATATGGTGTCGTGACATTCTCATGTACGAGGTTAGTGTGTAGTACTTGTTACGTACTGAATTCTGTGACTTTGTTTTGGCTCCATATACTGCATGCATTCACGTTTCACAGTTATCAGTTTGACCCTGAGTTCATGTCTGTTATCCCGTGTCTCCTCTACTTATTTTTGTTTCCACACGGTTCATGGTGTAGCGCTGCACGTGTTCCGTCAGTTTGAACTTCAGCATAAATCGCAACTACTTGCATTTTCAGACATGTCACGTGATTGTTGCCAGGGTTTGAGCCAATCAGAGCGTTTACAGGCAGGGCCTGAACCCCTGATCATGCCTTGCCTGCCAGCTCTACTACGATATTATATGTCACGTACCCGCGCGCACGGTTCTCCTGCGCTTGGGCTTGCTTTCCCTTGGTAGTTGGAAGTCAGTGGCTGTTTTAGTACTCTTAGATTATGTACAGAAAGTGGTGGACATCATGCAACTGCAGTGTAAATTAAAGGGTGGTTGTCAACTGACAACCGCATAATTTTTCGACATAATTAATAAAAGAATTTTCATCTAAAGAGTGAAAAGCAACTAAATAGAGCGGTTGTCGGCTGACAACCCCCCTTTTATTTAGATTATGTATCTGAAGTTAACACAACGTAGAAATATCACAATTGTCTCTTGTGTATTATATCCGTCTGATGTCACCAGATCGTCACACGGTGCTGTGACCAAGATACGGATCATGCCGAACGCTGATTCAACTGGACGAATCGCGAGGCTTTTCAGATGCAGGGACACAATGGAAACTGAATGACTTCAGAACAGCACTGCTTGGCGCGTCTATACAGCATCATTTGGCACAGCAAGATGACAAAACAGCTAGCAGTGGCTATTGGTGAGAAAATTTTCTGCTGTGCCATTGGAGTGTGCACGATACACGAACCCTGCTCTTTTGTTGGCACCGCCTATGTAACTTACTGCATAGGGTGCAAGGTGACCGTTGTCGGTTTACATGTACTCCAGTTATTACACCGTGCATGCACTGAGTCTGTGCTGCACTGTGCATCCATAGGTGTTCGTTTGCGGTAGCGCAAGGTGACACGCAAGGTTGATGGATTGTTTTGTCCGCTGCTATTCGAAGCTCTCGGAGTCGGAAGCGTTACCTCTGTTTCCCCTGTTCCTCCCTGCGCGGAGTCTGTAGTTCTGGCTTGCAGTTGCTGTTACATGCATGTTGGCAGTTGCATGTGTTTTGGTTTTCAGTTGTCTTTATCAAGTTGTTTTGTGTGGACGACAGTTCAATATTCTAGCAGTTGTTGCACTTCCTACTTCTGAAGTACATTCCGTAGTTATCTGCGGTTGGTGTTCGAGAGAGCAAACTGTGTTCTTCTCCAGAGTGGAGTAAACCATTCGCTTGTGTCTGAGGAAAACCCTGTGTGTTGACGAAGAGGTTGACTTGGCTGTAGAGTGAAAGTACCACATGGTCACATGGTCCACAAAATCTTAGAACTAACTTAGGGTCTTCTGGCGTATGGTATAGTTATATGAGCAGCATGAGAGTGAAGTAAAAGACTATTAGCTCAAACATTCAGGCTTTCAAGAGTAGGTGTTTCATCACGGAATAGGTTCTGCAGTTCACTTACACACTGCAACAATGGACCAGCAGTGTCCAGCATACAATAGAGTCATGTGAATATGTACCGTATGCATACTCACAGCTGCAAGGCCAGCGCCCCGTGGCTGCTTGACTTCTCAATCGATATAAATATTCACAACAGTAAGACTCTGTGATCAATCAGAGCTGTGCTTCGAAGTAGTCACAAATGCCCCATGTTCAGTCACAAAACAAAACTTGGCAACCAGTCACAGCTTCCACGGTGCCCCAAGACCAGTCACCAGAAATGATCGTAGTAAATCTGCAGGGAGTTTCATAATCTGTTCATTGCAGAGTCCACTATGCTATGATTCAAGAGGGGGGTAGCGTTCCTGCGGATGCGGAAAACTTGGCTGGAACCCGAGTGTCACGTGAACCCTGATTTTTAAGACTTATTATTTGTTTTACGATGAGCCTATTATACGCGATACAGGCTCAGAACACACTTTTCGTCTAGTTGGAATATCAGGGATATAGGGCGGAGCAGCCCATATCCCCAATTATGACACGCGAGTAATAGTGAAATACGATTGGCGTATTGTGCTGGACTGACTGCGGTAATGTAAAGCTAAAATAAAGCAGTCAGTTTGCCCTTAGCATGGCCTTGTCATGACGGTGCCACATCCGTGGAAAGGCAACATGCCGGCTAATCTCCCTGAGAAGTTGAGTGGTTATCAGCAGGCGATGACGCTGTGTCGATGATGACCTGTTGATGCCCGACAGGAACCTTGCGAGGAGAGTCATTGGGCCTGACGGGTAGGTAAAGCCAACTTCCACATGAAGTTTGCGGATGGCTGACATGTAGACATGGACAGATCGGGGCTGAAAAGTTCTGAACAACTCGGCAGCAAAATAACACATAAAGTAAAAAGTCATCACCTGGCAATGGATTCCAGTTATGCCCTTGACAGAACTGGAAGTAACGGGTATCGGCGGAAAAATATTTCCGGCTGGTGCCAGTGCTGCTAGCTGCAGCACGGAGTCCGGCAACTGAGAGTTGGAAAAGACTGGCTGATCTGGCTCAGCTGCTGCTTCCGGAGCCCTCGATGGTTCAAACACCATCGGCGCAGGCCACGTTTTTCGGCACCGACGATTTGTTCGTCCACCAAAAGTCGAAACAAATGTTTCTCACTTGAACACTCCGTAGAGCTGCCGCTGTTGTGCCAAGGCCCATTGGCGCATGGTGTGTATACTCCAAATCTACATGTATGATGAAGGGTCACTGCTGACGTTTCTGCTCTTGGACAGTGCAAAGCCGCATGAAGATATGTTGTGGCTCCACAATCGCTGAGAACGCTAGTGTGCATCCATGGAATACTAAAACACAATAGGCGCGGCGCAGCTAACGCCCACTTGGATGAATCGCAGTGGTGGCGAGTGCATTCTCCTTCCTCGGTGAACACTGCTGGTCACCCTGTTTGATGATCCACCAAACACCATCGGTGCAGGCCGTGTTTTTTCGGAACCAGCCATTTATTCATCCACCAACAATAGAAATTAATGTTTCTCACTTGAACACTCTGTAGAGCTGTCGCTGTCGTGACAAGGCCGTGTATACTCCAAGTCTACAATGTAGGATGAAGAGTAACAGTTACTGCTGATAATGAAGTTTGCGCTCGTGGACAATACAACGCTGTGTGAAGTAAATTGTGGCTCCACAATCGCTCTGAATGCTAATGTGTGTCCATGGAATACTAAAACACAATAGGCGCGGTGCAGCTAACGCCCAACGTGGATGAAACGGACAACAGCAGCGGCTAGAGCGTTCTCCTTCCTCGGTGAACACTGCTACAAGACATTATGCTTGATGATTCACCAAACACCATCGTTGGGGGCCAAGTTTTCCGGCGCCAGCAAGTTGTTCGTCCACCAACTAACTTTGATGAGTCTTTCTTCAACACTTCGTAGAGCAGCCGCGCAAGGCCTTTCCTTCGCGTGAAGGTAGCGATCCTTCCTAGATGATATCGCTATTCATTGTTACTTTTTACTTCAATGAGTAGTGTAGTGTCTCTCCGAAAATAAAGTCAGCTGCCTTGGCATTAGGCATTAGTACTGCCTAGGCCTAGCACCTGGACTTGGAAAAAAATTGATTTTGCAAGTCTTCAATCATGTTTGCATGTACGCGCTATCCAGCCATGTGGCGTGAACAGATTCTGGATTGCCTGACGTGAAAGGTAGCGCGCGCGGGCCCGCGAGAGTCGTACGCGCGCTCGCGGACGTGTCTGACACGTGAAACGAAAAGATTTTTTTGGCGGGTAGTCGGCAAAAATTAAGTGACGGTCCCTTTAGTTTAGTCCTTCGCGGGAAGGCGCAGCTGATCCGACAACAAGCGCATGGAAACCACGTGCCCATAGCGACACGCTTTTTGACTTGGCTCAGATCAGGCAAGGCCAAGCTTGATATGCATGCAAAGCTAAAGAAGTAAAGAGACAGCTAGACTAGAGCCTAGAGGATCGGAAGCCGAAGGAGTGTGTGCCAGCCACACTGTCACAGCAGTCATCAGAACTACTTCAACTAATACTTCAGTGAAGCATGTAGTCTGTAGGTGACGATCAACAAACATTCAATCAATGAGCTTTTTCGTGAAGAATCACGATCAATATTTTCTACTCAGTCCAGCCGCGGCAAGTACCGGTATTTGCACCTGAACTGGCTGCTAATGTACATGATAACATCGGCAGTCGACTCGATGACACTGCATTGCAAGTGATGCCAGCGTTCGTTGAAGGCAGGCAAGCAAGGAGGAAATCTACAGTCAGAAACTACTGCTAACCCTGCTACGGCCTATGACCAGCAGCCGTGATGGTAAAATATTATTACGATTTGTAGTGGCAGCATAGTGAGCATACTAAAATAACATGAAGTGCTAGTAGCAGCTGCTACACACATAATAATTATTATTATTGTGTCGGTCAGATTCAGTGCGTCTGCATTCTGCACATTAATTGCAGCGCCATCCGCCGTTCAGTACTATAAGCGTTGGCCTGCGTCGGACTTGCGCCTGCAGCCAGCAGAGCTGTATGTCAGTAATCAGCAGCTGAATGTCGGTCACAACAGCAGTAGCTGAATGTCGGGCACAACAGCAATACTCAGTTAGTCAGTAGCTGCTACAGTACAGTGTCGTGATGTGCGCATGAAGTGGACTATACGTATACCGCCACCGTCCGAATCACGACAAATCTCTGCTCCAGCCACGGGCAGTTACCCCAGTTATACCCGTTGATCACAGGATACTGTGCCGCGTGTGCGCGTGGTCACTGTGTCAGCGCTGGCAGCAAGTAGTTGTGTATCACCTGTAACTGCAGCAGAATTCTGTGATACAAGCGAACAGTATAAACTTCTGATAAGCACTGAGCCCAGCACTATCCGATACACGCACATACACTCGATCAGGAACAAACCGGATACTACCTGACAATAACAAACAAAGCGCATGATTGCATGCGACTGCTCATTGCCAGCGGCTCCATGTAAGCCTAGCCCATAGTAGGAGACAGGCTGAAACCGCGGCCACAGCAGCAGCTGTATCCCCAACGCACTGTGGCAGCTGCTGCTCGACCGACGGACGGATTCCTTCCTTGTGATCACACAGTACCATGGATATGGCAAGACGTCGGTACTGCCTTGAGTCGTGCGACTCCACACTACTGGACAATGCCATGCCGGATCACCATGACAGCGGCTACATGCTGCGCTTCCTGCAGGACAGTGAGGATCTTCCCATTCCCGCGGCCGTCTTCGTAGAGCCCCCGGACAACGGTGGTGGTGGCCATGGTGACGGCGGTGGTGGCTGTGACGACGGTGGCAAGTCGGCCGTGAGAAAGCGGAATATCATGTACCGTCCACTGGACATCTCCTATGTCAGTGATCGGCTTGTGGTGTGTATCGTCAGTGGACTGGCCATTGACAGCATAGCAGCATTCAACAATTGCCGACACCTCATCAAGCTGGATGCTCACAAGAACAAGGTAAGTATTGACTAGGAGCATGCGTGCGACACAGGACATGTGCGCGCTTCACAGAAATGCCGAATGCCAAATAGGCTAAAACACATAGACTGCTGTGGCTGATGTTGTTGGACCTTGGAGAGCCCTCTCCCACGCATGCACACACACACACACACACACACACACACACACACACACACACACACACACACACACACACACACACACACAGGTCCGTCTGGTGTGTGCCGCGGTGATCGGTGCTGTATTATCCTAGGCTGGTGTGCTGAGCAATGGACAGTGATTAGTGATGCTGGTGTGCTATCTGTTGTTGCTGTAGATCAGCTCACTTCCAGCCAGTGGTGTCATGGTGACTTGGGCACAACTGCAAGTCCTCTACCTGCATGAGAACCTTATCAACTCGATGGAGGATGTGCTGAGGCTGTCGGTCTTGCCCAAGCTGCGGCTGCTAACGCTACTGTGCAATCCGGTGTGTCAGGAAGGACGCTACAGGAAGAAGGTGGTCAATTCGCTCGGCTCCTTGCTGGCTTTGGATATGCATGTCGTAGCTGAGGCGGAGGTAATCTGCGGTTGTCACACACCACAGCTGCCACGATACACGCCAATGAACGATGACCTGAGAATGGACGTGTATCGATTGCCGCAGGTGAGCTGTATACACTGTCCTAGTTGACGTCCGTCGTGATGTTCTGTCCGTCGTGATGTTCTGTCCGTCGTGATGTTCTGTGAGCCGCAAAACAGTACTATACAGCAGAGTACAGATGTTCAACATTCCTCTGGGCACGGTGCCATCTCCGGGGGGTACGGATGGGGAGTCTGTTCGGTTAAGGGAACTGGCAAAATGTGACCCACTGAGCTGCCAAGTTCATGTTATCTTTGGTCGGGAGATCCCCCCCCCCCCCCCCCCCAAGAGGGGTAGTCTAGCAGGAGATCGGGCGGGAGGTCGGTAGGCCTTCAATTCCAAACGAGTGTTTTTTCATTGTACTTCCTTCGTAAACAAAACCTGCGTGGTGGGTTTTGAAGGACTGGTTTGCGCACAAACTGCCGTGAAACTAGTCACGATTACTTTCTCGGCCTTCCCTGGCATGCCATGAAAGAGATACGATGCAAGGAAAGCGACCATTCACAACAAAACCGAGCGGAATCGATGGTTGCGCTGTGCCATATTACATAGCCGGTGGCGACAGCCATGACGAGCGGAACTGAAATGCCACTTCTTCTTGGACACAATGCGCTGCTTGGCCTCTCCAGTTCTCAGTTTGAGAATGATAGAGAGCGATGGAAAGGAGCAGTGAGCACACACAATGAACGAGTGAACAAGCAGATGCTCCGATCGCATGGCACAATGAAAGGATTCTGAATTTAATCTTCTTCAACCTGCGCAAAGCCCAGATTTGAACGCTGATGGCCATAACTTCTTTAGAAATCTGCGTAGGCCTTGTTGCGAGGAGAGGAGAAAGGCTGAAAAGGGAAAGGGCTGAAAAAACGACTGGAGAGAGATGACGACTCGAGTGCAGAACTTCTTTTACTTCTCTTTTCCCTGTATAGGGGTACCGGGGGGGGGGGGGGGCATGCTTGACGAAGTTGACGAACAAATGGGTGCAAGTCGGGAGGTTTTTGATATCGGGCCGGAGAGTGGGAGGTGTTTCAAAAATAACAACAAAATCGGGAGATCTCCCGGCTGATCGGGAGATTTGGCAACTCTGGACCCATCTGAAACATGCACATTCGCTCATACACATCATTTCTCATTCACCCACTTAGCGGGTAAAGTTATTACCTATGGGACTAGGCACACTGCCGACAGCCACAGTCAACTGGGTACTCGCTACTTGGACTGGGGATAAAGGTGCGTAGCACCGGCGTTGGAGGTGGTCGAGCCGGAGGGGGTCCGGGGGGGGGGGGAATTAGGGAGCACTGAAAATCCTGCATTCTGGGCACTTTTGGCATTGTGTTAAAAAAAAAGTGATCTGGCCAAAGCCGGACCGGCTGCTATGCCCCTGGGGTAACATGGATGCAGCTAACGAGGTTCACCACCTTGTCGAGTATTGCTTGTGAGACTTCAATACTACCGTACCTCGCCCTTGCCGACAGGCGCTGCATCTCCCACCCTGGTATAGTCAGGCATGGTGGTGGCCTGGCATAAGTGAAACTGCATACAGGGATACATGATGTTGACAGGAACCTGCTGCCATACATACTGTGCACCATTTTCAATAGTGCTGTGGACGGTGGGAACCAGCAAAACTCCGAGTTTCCTCCCTTCAATTCAATTCAAACAGGCATTTAGGATAATCATTAATCAATCATTCATACAGTTTGTATTCGGATAATCACTGGCAGTCTACTGTACAATCAGTCTAAAACAGAATGACAAATGTGACAAACCGTATATGGCTATATGTGTGTGCACAGTACATGTATAATATTGTGTTGTGTCGCGTTGGTACACTGCGTGGTGTGTTTGTAGGTCTCGCTACGGGATGAGCTGAAATCCGTGAATGTTCTGCTGCGTACGATTCACAACAAGCACTTGCATTCCTCATTCGTCGTGGTGCTACAACGCAACTGGCGGCGTTTGCACCCAGCAGTGCGAACGACACCGGGCCATGATCAAGATGAACACAGACAGAGGTCAGTAGTCATGCCTCACCTAAGTAAAGTTATAATAAATATAGTACCTCCTGTAGTACCTCCCCCCCCCCCCCCCCCGTTCTGTCAGTCCCCGGCAGTTTGTGTCCAATAAAAGCAGACTGCACAGCTGTACAAACAGCGTGCACGTGCACGTGTGAATGCACTTTCATGAAAACAACATCTGCTAGTACGTGGAATTCGAGAACGTATTGGAGCGTAGTACGAATCGCCTAGAAGAGGGTTTACACTTTGTGTGGTGGTGTTCTCTGTTTGCCGCTCTGTGTGCACAGCCATGGTTCATTGTCACCAGCTGCGGCTGCCACAGCAATGCAGGACAATACTATGCTAGTGCCTGCAAACAGCCAGCTCAACACCAGTGGCGGGAGCGGGAGCGGAGCGACTGATCCAGGCCGGCACGAGGCACTGCTGAACGCACTGAAGATGCCAAACGCTTCATCCGTGCCCAGACTGAAGACGAGGCAGCGGCCCAGGAGCGCACCTCTGCATGCTACGTCTGCCTTGCCACCGCCAATGTTCAGAGACAGGTCCCGTGACGTGAGAAACCAGTTCAGGAAGCTAGGTCTCGGTGAAGCAGCCGAACGGTCCACACACAAAAGCAACCACTCGCATTTTCACCTGAAGCTTCCGGCCATCCCACAACCTTGCAAGCCGCACCATCCACAAACAGAGGAGGCTCCACGTAACGCCTTGCCACATCTGCCTCTAATACACAAGGCAGCTGGCATTAAGGAGATCTCTGACATACGTAAACACAGACAGGAGAAGTTAGCAGCGGCTTGCGATGATCAGCGCAAGTCCCTAGCCTGGCGGCAGGATGAAAAAGAGGAGACTGAGCGGCGCAGAGTGGAGGACGCCCAGGAGAGCGTGGAGCTGAAGAGAGGCTCTCACGAAACTGATGACAGCCGGAGGTACCGACAGATCTGCGGCACAATGCCGATCCTAGATCTGATCAAGCATGCCAAGCCAGTGCGACATCAGAACACCTCGCAGGCAATGCAACCTGCCAACCGACAGCTCCATCACCAGAAAGCACAGGGGACGCCAAGCTTTGCCGGGGAGCGTGCCGCATATCACTTGAGAGGTGAGCGAGAGGTTAGACGCCAGTGGTTAGAAGAGCATCGTGCCCTAGTGCACAATGCGGAGCAAAAACAGAAGAAAGAGCACAAGAGTAAACTAGAACATGCCACAGCAACCAGAAGCACAGCTTCCTGCGGCGCGCAAGTCAAGACCGTGACGAGGGCGTACGAGCAGAATTTCGCGTGCCAGATGTCAACAGTGATGAAGCACGTGTCCAAGCACCGTGCAAAGACCAAGGCGCGGTCGACACATCGCTCGCGTGCTTTGACCGTGGCATTCCAGCGCAGGCTGGAAGAGCAGTACCGCCAGGGAATCCGCGAGGACAAGGAATGGAAAGTGTCTCTGGCTGCAGCTCAAAGAAAATTGGAGAAAGCCAAAGTCAACACGTCGGTGGAGCTTGCTATTGACAAGCAGGAGAGGTTAGCACAGGAGCTAGTCTCGGACCTACGCCGTGAGGAGAAGCAGCGGGCGCAGAGAATCGCAGAGCAGAAGAAAAACGGAAACCTGAAGTCCTTCTCGGCCACATCTCTTCGGACGCGCACGGTCGACATGTCCGTAATCCCGGCCTCGAGCCTTGAAAGCTCATTCCCAGTGCGAAACATTCACCTGGGCCATCCTGCCTATGCACCGGCAACTCCACAAGAGCACTGTATCTGCTCACCGACGACTAGAGTTGTCTTGCCAAGATGAGAACTGCCCCAGAACAGTTCTACTCGGGCAGTTACCATGCTTACGTAGTCTTGTGTACAACTTCTGAATTCCTAAGATCAGTATTAGTTGCCTTGTTTTAACTGCTTTGACATCTTGAGCTTCTTCTTGTAATACAATCATGTAGTGGCATTGCATGATGTAAGCCTCCCCCCCCCCCCCCCTCTCACTTCCAGGACATCACGGTCTGGTTGATAGTCGAAACTCATTCTAGTTCTGAAAACCAGACATTGAACAATGGCAGCTAGTAGAAATGTAGAACATCTAAAAGATTATGTCAAATCAATATTTATACGGATTGGCGGCAAAGAAAACAAACTTTGAAGTAAAAAAATAATAATTATACCCGATAGAAGTGTGGCACGCACCGATCATGTGAGAGGTTTCAAGCAGCTCTAGAGTCCAGATACATGTACATGTACGTGTGAAGCCAACACAGCCATCCGGTATGGCGCTGATAATGCCTGATATCCACCAACAGAGAGAGAGGGGAAATGAGAATAACTCTTCCAACAACACAACGCAGTTCTCTCTTGTTTGGAACGGCATACTAACGCAAACGGTACCACACGCATAAGTTACTAGTAGTCGACAACAGTGAATGGTGCCGATCATGCTTGTGAAATTAAAAAACAAACAAAAACAAAACAAAAACAAATGCGCTGCATATAAATATAACGTCAGGTGTACGATCAGACTGAGCAATTTCGGGGGTCGTGTCTGCACGGAGAAGGGTGTGTGGCAAGGTCAAGTGAAGCATGACAAGACTAGCCGCAATGGCAGATGAGCAGGATAGTCCGTACATAGCCGAATGTGAAGTTTCATGGCTGTTGCCATCCCGGGGGCTTGGGGACGGAGAGAGTTCTAGTACGGCGTCTACCTTCAGAGAATGTATAGAAACCTAGAAAGCAGCAGCAGCATCATCAGCAGCAGTGGCAGCAGCATCATCAGCAGCAGTGGCAGCAGCAGCAACACTGTATATAAGCAGCAAGTATAGTGTAAGTGTACTGCTATTCTTGTAGCGGTGGTGAGCAGCAGCATGGAGGAGGCATCATCAGCCTGTTACTGTGTCTGGCATGCTACACGCGGCTGGCCGTCCTGGTCATCTTCATCGTTCGCGCCCTGCACATCCAGGCGCATGTAACACATACACACACACGTGCAGATGCAGATACCACACAGAGGCATAGTGATCACACAGACAGACAGACACACACACACACACACACACACACACAGACGTAAGCGTAAACACATGATACATCCGAAATGGCTGCAAGATACCCAATACAAGTAGCGCCCAGTCAATGTGCGTGACTAATTTAGCGTCGACTGCAGTAAATTGCATCTACTAAAATGACCACCATTTCAAAGCATGGTTCAAATCCAAACCATGCCTATGCCTATTGACGACTATTCAACAAGTCAAAACTGAGTCAAATCTCAACTTCGTGGCAGCCAATATTCTCAGCTGTCGGCTCGAAAAGTTCCAATGCTGATACGAAGAAGCATAACAGAGTGGCAATTGCTGAAACTTCACCCCGCCCCTCCACACAGGAAGAGACAACATCCACAACACGTGCAGTCACAGGTTTTCCCAGTCTGCTTGAAACGAAATTGAGCGATTATGAGCAAGCGCAAGTGCAATGGCAGGACGACTCCTAGCTCACACTCGGGTTACAGTTGGCTCTCCTGGCGTGTTCCTTGAGGAGTTTGGTTTGGCTGTCATCCTCTTTCAAAGAGCTTTCCAATGAAGCCAAGATACTGTAAGTCAACAAATATTCGGTGCATATTTATTTTCGCCTATTTTCGGACTGGTCATATCTCGTACAGTGGTCCCTCTAAAATCCGGCACCATTTGTGCCACGGAAAATCTGCTGGACTAGGGAGGGTGCTGGATTAACAAATCTGATTTATTGCTGCAATGTGCATGAAGAGGACATTTTGGCTACTGAAAATTGTGCTGGTTTATCGCGGGTGCTGGATTATAAAGTGCTGGATTAGAGAGGGACGACTGTATTTATTTTCGGCTATTTTCGGACTCGTCATATCTGGCCGAAAATTTGTTGTGGCCGAAATTTTGTTTTGCAAGGTTCTGCGTGACAGCAGGAGTCTATAACCCCAAGAGTGTGCAACTCTGTACATGGGGATCCGCGCGGCGGAATTCCAACATTACGTCAAAAATGACGTACACGTTCGTTGCGCTTGTACTACTCCCTTGTTCCAAGCATCGCGGAATGAGGAGTTTTGTCCAGCTGTGCCTCAGCGGCATGACGTAATGTTGGAATTCCGCCGCGCAGTGGGCCTACAGCAGCCCAGACCCCAGTTGCACACTCTTGGGGTTATGCACTCTTGGTGACTGTGTGTACAGGCAGCAGCAGTACAGGTCGAAAATCGAATGCAGCCGAAGTGTGTTTTAGCCCTGGGAGGCCGAAAATCGAATGGGCCGAAAATTTGTAGATTTACAGTGGTCAAAATCTAAGCAGAACCAGGGGTAGGGTTGGCATTTGAATACTAGTACATGTAATTGCAGGCCCTTTTTGGTGCCATTTGACCAGCGGAGATCAAAAGGAGTTTTGAGTCGTCTGAGCTCCAAACACAAACAGCTTGAATCTAGAAGGGGCAGGTCAGATTGCAAATGCAGCTGACGAAATTCAGTGATCCATGGGCTGGCAACATGTGTGGGGGACTTCTAAGTTCTTACCCGTCTTGCACTCTGCCGATGCTTGTTGGGATCAAACTCCTCTAACAAAACCTACGAAAAGCATCACAGCACAAAGGGAGAGAGAGAGAGAGAGAGAGAGAGAGAGAGAGAGAGAGAGAGAGAGAGAGAGAGAGAGAGAGAGAGAGAGAGAAAGAGAGAGAGAGAGAAAGAGAGAGAAACAGAGAGAGAGAGAGCATTACATAACTTCAAATACACACCAGTGGGAGCATTACATAACTACTAACACACACCAGTGCAAGCAGTCCAGACCAAAAAGAACTCTGGCCAGGGTAGAACATCTCGCCAACATCGCAGTACAGTGCGCCACAGCATTTCCAGCAAAGCTACACGCACGCACGCACACACACACCATGTACCATGTATACGCTCGTCGCAAGAGTAGCACGCAAATCTGCAAATGCACTGGATGTGCACCAACAGATTTTCTCTTATAGCAACGATAGCGAACAAGATCTGAATGAGACCGATCAAGACTTAAGCCAGATAACTGTCTAATCCACACAACTGGCGGAGCCATGTGAATCGACCACCAATGCACACCTGGTCTACACCACACGGAGTACACACATGGAGTACACACACGGAGTACACATACACACACACACAATGCACTACCGCATTTACCTCCTCAGCTTCGTCCTGGACGTCCGGTGCAGCTGGGCGGTCGGGAAGAATCTTTTCCAGCTCCTTCGCCGCGTCTCCTTTGAGGAAGCCTGCTTTCGGGAAGTTGACGTCGAAAAGAATGATGAGCCTGCCCTTCTCGAATGGGTTCCGATGTGTGGGCATGCCCTCACCCATGACAACACGGCGATCACCTACACAGGCACAAGGGTGGCAACACAATAGTGGCTGTCACTTCAGCTAGCTACAACAATCAGGAGTTACACTTTCCACTCGTGTAGTAGCCAGAAGTTGGGTGGCATTGCAATTAGGCACGCCTTGAAGAAGAGACAGCGATGGCGGTGAGATTCTTCACGGTAAAGACAAATATTCAAAGCTATGCCTTGCCTGAAACTGGCACCGACATCCATAACCTAATGCACACGCCTAGAGCAACAAACGGAGAGCAAGTGACTTACCCGGTTTGATAACTTCGCCAGGGACAGCTTCAATCACAAGCTGGCGATCATCAAGAGTAGTTATCGTCTTCTTGAATCCGCAGAGAGATTCAACCAACTCAATTTCCTACAAAAGAGCAGAGAAAAAAAACCCTAAACATTTTCAATTGCAAACTCGTACACCTGCACAGTGCGCTTCACAATTCCCAACCACTATCCAAATACAGTCCGACCTCTTTTATCTGGATCCCTCGCCATCCGGAAGAAAATAGCTGGTTACAGATGTACAGCATACGTGATGCATCCAACAAAACCGGTGTTCGATTATCCGATTCCCTCGCCTATCCGGATATTTTTGACTGTAATTAAAGAGAATTAAAAGACAGGACCAACATGTAACATATTGCTCCTTTTTTTCTTTTTTTTAACCCTTTGAGGGTCCATCGTTCGGGTGAAAATATACAATTGTAGTTCACTCCACCATTTCCACCATAACTTACGTTCTGTTTGCTTGATTTTGACAATCTAGGGCTCTTTGAAACGCTCTTTCCGTTGCCAATCGAATGAGGCCACGCTCAACTCCATGGTTGCCACAAAGCCTGCTCCAGAGCGCAGCGAATCGCCAAAGGTCGGGCCTCGTGGTGAAAGAAATACTTCTAAATTTCGTTCCATGGCTATTTCGCAGTCGTTTCTCGCACAGCTCTAGATTTTTGCATCTCAATCAGTAGATTCTACGTCACTACGGCCGCACGTCATGAGCTGGCTGCACACCACGTCATCCACGGGGAATCCCCGAAGAACGCGGCACCATATCTTTATCATCGTTTCTCCTATCGCAAAAGCGATTACACCATTGGAAAGCGATTACACCATTGGAAAGCTTGGAGCTTCTTCTTCGATCTACATATTTCGATATTTGCAACAGGACTAAAAACAATGACGTTACGACAGTTTTACGGTACGCACTACATATCGTTCGAATTCGAACGAAATTCGAACGATGGACCCTCAAAGGGTTAATTTTACTCCTTGGCTCTCCGTCCGAGTCTAATCTACACACATGATGAGCCGTCAGAATCTATACGGCGAAACGTAGATCTACATTGTGTGATACTTGTTATTGCCGTTTGTTATAGTCCACCACAAGTGCCATTCTACTTCGAAGTACATGTACAGTCCATTCAGAAAAAATGATATCCTAGCTTTTGGCCATAAACGGGTCAAATTTTGAGTTTTCGTCACAATTTTTTGGCAATCCCCCATGGAATGCTCTTCCAATTGTGTTTTTGAAGTCTATTTCTCCAAAAAGCAAGCCATAACAAGAATAGGATTTCAGCCAGGTTTTGCCCCCAAAGAACTGAATTGGGTAAAAACCATGAAAATCCAGGCCGTTCACTCCACTTGCATAACAGTACATTTGCGGTTCGAACCCCAGTTGAGGTGCCTTTTTTGGATCCTTTTTCAAGTTAAGAATCGCGCGGCACTGCACAGTGTACCACAAAATCGCCAAACACGGGAGCTCTCCAGAGCCAGCGCTCATCTTTTTCTGAATGGACTGTAGTTTAGTACGACAGGATAGTGCAGTCCGGTCTGTCTCACTTCGTGTTCGCATAACTTCCTCTCTTTTTGCGTATACAGTCGTCCCTCTCTAATCCGGCACTTGTTGATCCAGCACCCTTGCAAGCCAGCACACTTTCTGGCAAAAAGGATTTTTTCAGTTCACATTTTCTACGCTTTAATCCGGCACTTGAATTCCGCCTCCAGCAGCAATTTTCTGCAACAAATCACTCAAACCATAATTCGATTTTCTAATCCAGCAGTTGTACATCGCATACTGTCAGGGAGCATTGTAACATACAAAACACGTGTAACATACACTTGGGAATATCCTATGCCAGTGCATAGGATAATCCCGGCAAGTGTATGTTAAAGACATGCATTCCACAAAGTACTTGGATTGACACAGAAAATCCCTACGTGTTGACGTATGACACAAACATGTATGTTAACATGTGGGCCGGGTTGGAGGGCAGGATTTGATAATCCAGCACCCTTGTTTATCCAGCAGAAAACGCCATTGCAAAAGGTGCCGGATTAGAGAGGGACGACTGTATTCGATAAACATGAGCCTCCCACGTTGGGTGGTTGTTATTTCGCTTCTTGAAGTGAGCCGTGGCCGCCCTGTGCCGTGGTCCTTCGTCTTTCATCACCATCTTGTCAAAGCTAACATTCGTAGTTCAAATAGACTCGGATGGAGAGCCAAGGATTAATTTTTAAGAAAGAAAAAGGATCAAGGAGTGCGCATCCAAGATGTGCTAGAGCTGTTAGCCAGTTAGTTGTGGAACGTCAGTACCGTCGGTCAGTGTCGTGCAATGTTATCGCATGAGCTGATTGTTAAGTAACTGGTGGTGTTAGTGGACATTATAGCGTAACTTGTAGTTCCTTGGTCCTTTTTCTTTCTTATAAATTCTTAATTCGCTGTGATGTTAAGCTTGTTTAGTCTTGAGTGCGCTCACCTTCCCCATTCTCATATTTTGAACGTAGAACCTTCCAAGTTGGAAGGCTGTTGGCCAGCGCATTCGAGACGTGCTAGAGCTTTACAAAGGTTGTCAAATGGCAGTAGCACATCAGTCAGTAGTATGCTAACTGTTGCACCTTCTGACTCCACAATATCTTGCTTAGAACAGCAATAGTGTTGGACAAACTACAAATAACAAGTAACACTTTCGTCCTTTCTTTTAGTAATTTAACTAATTTTTAATCCTAGGATCTCCATCTGAGTTAAAGATACGTTTGACATTCTTCAAAGTGACCTCGACCAGACAAGCTTCGCAATTAAGCAACTAATTTTGAAAAAGATAGGCACAAAGTGATATTTTACTAGGGCCGAAATGATTACTGTATTAAAAGTCTACAAATTTTCGGCCCATTCAAATTTCTGCCTCCCAGGGCTAAACCGCATTTCAACCCATTCAAATTTTCGGCCCGTACTGCTGCCGCCTGTATACACTGAACCGTGCCAAAAAAATTTTGGCCGCACACTTTTTCGGCCAAACATGACCAGGCCTAACATTGCTTATATTTGCCGACTTCCAGTATAATACTCGTTATGATCGATAACGACTATGACGGTACAGTGCACGAGTGGTAAGTATGATGCAGATGAGGCATTATTCCATGGCATCATGCATGCACAAGTACAGTGCTGCTCAAAGAAATCCAATCGTGTCACCACGTACGTGCCGGGCGTTGCGCAGACCTAGACCTGCAAACACTGGGCTGCACAATGGTGCAAAGCGCAAACTTGAGTGACGCGACTGGATTGCACTGAGCAGGACTGTACGTCGTATCGAAGAACAGCCGTAAGTCCGTACATTGCACTTGATCATTCGAGTACTCGTACATTCCGCACTGAGCTGCCGACATCATACTCAGCGCGCAGTCAATGTACTAGTCAGCGTAGCCATAGGTGTAACAACCGGAAAGCTTCGTTATTTTAGTTTTTTCAGTTCTTATCCAAATCCAAAGTTTTGATTTGTTAGCAAGGAGAGCAGTGACAATGCCGCCGCCTGTAAAAGCGAAAATTAGTCGAACCAAGAGATCGACAGTTTGGGCATACTTCGAGGAGGCTGGTAGCGTAGCGAGATGCAATTCGTGCAGCCGCGAGTTAGTCCACCAAAGCGGCACAACTAACTTGTTCCAGCACCTGTGTTCTGCTCATAAAGAGCAGTACGCCGCCGCGGTTGGGTAAGAACCAGCAACCCAGTAGACAGCAATGACGACTACCAGCAAGGTTGAGCGCAGTGACAATGTGACGACCAGTGGTGGAACGAAGCCCGTCACGTAGTTCTTTGCCACAACTTGCGGACGTACGACAGCAGACGCTCAGGTTGATCATCGACTGGACTGTCGATTCCACTCGGCCTTTCTCCATGGTAGAAGACAAAGGACTAATCGATCTGCTCAAGCTGACAGAACCGGAGTACAAAGTCCCCTCCAGAACACACTTCGCTTCGCTCATCAACAAGCGCCACATTCTGTGTGTTCAAGGACTAAAGACAATACTGTCCTCCGACGCTGATGCTGGTGTTTGTATCACCACTGACGGTTGGTCATCGACATCGACTCAGTCCTTTATCACGCACACAGTTGCACTTCGTGGACAAAGACTGGAAAATCGTGAGTGGTGTCTTGGAGACCGGTGTTTTCACAGGTACACATACAGCTGAGAGGCTTGCAAAGTACAGCATGGATGTGTTGTACGTAGTTTAGCTGCACGCTGATTGCATGCTGTCTGCACGCTTTTTGCCTGGTTACTGCTAAGATTACGTGTCCGTGCCTGGGTCCGTTTGGGTTATAACTCGTGGCCCTGCGCCGTTTTCCTGGTCTTCCGTTTTCTGTAGTCGTCGCAGCTCCTCGTGTTGGGTCCATTTTATTCTCTCTCTCGTGGTTTTCTGCCCTTTTGTTACTCTTATCGTTTCCGTTGTCCTCCTGAGCCCTGCTCCTTTCCTTTGTCCCCTTATTCGTCGTTTGAGGCCAAGTAAACCGTATCAACCCGAACAATTCGTTGCTCTGTCTGACTGGTCGCGGGGGCTCAGACAACATTTGGCGCCCAACGTGGGGCTCGAACCCACGACCCTGAGATTAAGAGTCTCATGCTCTACCGACTGGTAGCAATATGTTGAAGTTCGGAACCGCTGCCAGTTGTTTGCTCTCTGTGTTTTCTTTTCTGTTAAGTTTACGCGAATATGCTGATCCATCTCGGATTTACTTCGTAGCTACTGGCCGCGAATGTGGCAAATCGTCTGCTGTAACGTCACCTCCCGCACCCGCAACATCACCACCCGCACCCGCAACACCACCACCTGTACCGTCGGCAAACCAAGACTCTCTCGCAGTGGAGTTCCGGCGTGTATGTCACCGCTCCCGCCGGGCTCGGCACCGCCGGCGAGTACCAGGGCGGAAATCAGTGGAAACCGTCGCTTCCCGTCCGGCTTCTCCCAGCCCGGGAGTCATGGTGGAGGATTCAGATGCGACTGACGTAGTTTATTTGGTGGATATTCATGTTGCTAATGATCTCGAGCGATTGCGCATTGTATTATTATTTAGGCCTCGGGGCGGTTGGGACGGTGAGAACATGGGTATTGGTGTTGTTCAGATAATTTAAGAGCCAAGGGCCATACACAGGTTGAACAACTCGCTTAACGACGACATCAGTGTGGACGTTTTTTTTTGCAGGGTTTTAGTTTAAGGGGATACGCCACACTGGTGCCGTCGTTAAGTGTAAACCCACCTGGCCCATTAGTCACTTGCTCAACCGTTCCCTTTTTCACCCCTCCCCTTCTTAAAGATTTGTTGCTTTGTAAAGTCTCAGGAGAGACTTAGTTATCTTAGGGCGGAGTAATGTTGTACGTAGTTTAGCTGCACGCTGTTCACACGCTGATCGCATGCTGTCTGCACGCTTTTTGCCTGGTTACTGCTAAGATTACGTGTCCGTGCCTGGGTACGTGCCTGGGTCCGTTTGGGTTATAACTCGTGGCCCTGCGCCGTTTTCCTGGTCTTCCGTTTTCTGTAGTCGTCGCAGCTCCTCGTGTTGGGTCCATTTTATTCTCTCTCTCGTGGTTTTCTGCCCTTTTGTTACTCTTATCGTTTCCGTTGTCCTCCTGAGCCCTGCTCCTTTCCTTTGTCCCCTTATTCGTCGTTTGAGGCCAAGTAAACCGTATCAACCCGAACAATTCGTTGCTCTGTCTGACTGGTCGCGGGGGCTCAGACAACATTTGGCGCCCAACGTGGGGCTCGAACCCACGACCCTGAGATTAAGAGTCTCATGCTCTACCGACTGGTAGCAATATGTTGAAGTTCGGAACCGCTGCCAGTTGTTTGCTCTCTGTGTTTTCTTTTCTGTTAAGTTTACGCGAATATGCTGATCCATCTCGGATTTACTTCGTAGCTACTGGCCGCGAATGTGGCAAATCGTCTGCTGTAACGTCACCTCCCGCACCCGCAACATCACCACCCGCACCCGCAACACCACCACCTGTACCGTCGGCAAACCAAGACTCTCTCGCAGTGGAGTTCCGGCGTGTATCTCACCGCTCCCGCCGGGCTCGGCACCGCCGGCGAGTACCAGGGCGGAAATCAGTGGAAACCGTCGCTTCCCGTCCGGCTTCTCCCAGCCCGGGAGTCATGGTGGAGGATTCAGATGCGACTGACGTAGTTTATTTGGTGGATATTCATGTTGCTAATGATCTCGAGCGATTGCGCATTGTATTATTATTTAGGCCTCGGGGCGGTTGGGACGGTGAGAACATGGGTATTGGTGTTGTTCAGATAATTTAAGAGCCAAGGGCCATACACAGGTTGAACAACTCGCTTAACGACGACATCAGTGTGGACGTTTTTTTTTGCAGGGTTTTAGTTTAAGGGGATACGCCACACTGGTGCCGTCGTTAAGTGTAAACCCACCTGGCCCATTAGTCACTTGCTCAACCGTTCCCTTTTTCACCCCTCCCCTTCTTAAAGATTTGTTGCTTTGTAAAGTCTCAGGAGAGACTTAGTTATCTTAGGGCGGAGTAATGTTGTACGTAGTTTAGCTGCACGCTGTTCACACGCTGATCGCATGCTGTCTGCACGCTTTTTGCCTGGTTACTGCTAAGATTACGTGTCCGTGCCTGGGTACGTGCCTGGGTCCGTTTGGGTTATAACTCGTGGCCCTGCGCCGTTTTCCTGGTCTTCCGTTTTCTGTAGTCGTCGCAGCTCCTCGTGTTGGGTCCGTTTTATTCTCTCTCTCGTGGTTTTCTGCCCTTTTGTTACTCTTATCGTTTCCGTTGTCCTCCTGAGCCCTGCTCCTTTCCTTTGCCCCCTTATTCGTCGTTTGAGGCCAAGTAAACCGTATCACCCCGAACAATTCGTTGCTCTGTCTGACTGGTCGCGGGGGCTCAGACAACAGATGTAGCCAAGACGTTCGGCTGGCAGTCATCACAAGTCGTTGCTGTGACTCACGATGAAGCTGCAAATACGGTGGCTGCTGGAAGGCTGATGTCTGAGCAATCCGGCTGACTGCCAGGTGTATGCATGGTGCATAGCCTGCAAACTGTTGTTAGGCATGCCTTGAAACAGAATTTTTTCGTATCCCCCGGTCTAACATGATAAAAGGAAGACTCACCATTTTCATCACAAGATTGTTTCCGTCACGCTTGAAAATCGGATGTTCTTTCTCTTCAAGTACAATGATAACGTCACCTGGTTCTAGGCCGGGGTTCTGCAAGTATACACCACAAGATATTCAAAACCCAGCAGTCAAAACATGTAGCCAGATACTTAACCCTTTGGAGTCCATGGTTCGATTTCGAACCATGGGCATTTTGTATGCATGTGGGCGCAGTCAAACTTTCGGTTCTCGGCCAAATCTTGACCAAATTCAATAACCGAAGGGTCTAGATGGTAGAGAAAACTCTCAGCTATCGCCTCGAACAGGTCCGAAGTCTCTCCGATGAAGTTTGAGTGAGCGGCGGGTGATCAAACATTTCGAATTTTCCGCGCTGCGTGCTGCGAGTCAGCAGTGCGTGAAAAAAAGGGATTTTCCCAGCTTCATGACAAGCGGCACGTGCCAAAACCGGCGCGGCGCGAAGTCACGGCAAAGTAAGCTTGTACTCGGAAAAAATTGAACAGTTCCGAGCTAGATTCAGTGAAATGGCTACAGGAGACCGATTTCGTCTCAGATCTGGAGCTGGACTCGCGTTTGGGGCGCTTTGTGGCGGACAATGAATAGTGCTCTTGGCGAGTTTGGGCTCATTGTATTTCTCTCATCAAGAGCTTTCCAACGAGCCCAAGATTTTCGAAATCGGTGAAGTAGAACCAAAGTTATGTTGGAAATGGAGTGCGCATTTTCGTGACTGCCACAAATTCTGCGGAAGCAAAAAAGTTACGGACTCCAAAGGGTTAAAGGGGAAGTCCGGTGAAAAATTTAAATTTCACAGTCCGTAGAGTTCGGGGCGCTGAGTCGAATGGTCTTTGTCCGAGGAGGCTGCGGCTTATGGTTCGTCAGATACGCCCAATCGAACATGAGCGAATTTGAGCGCGCATCACCCAGATCCAGGTGATGACGTCACAGCGTGCAGCCAGGTAGCCACACCATCTAGTTGTGTACAAAAATGGCCATATTCGGAGCGCGTTCGATTGGGGAACCGTTTATCGCAGCTTCTTCGGACCAAGACCATTCGATTCAGTGTTACAAACACTACGTACCCTGTGATTTTCAGCTCGGTAAACCTGGAGGTTATACCGTATTTTAGCCGTTTCCGAGTTGGACTTTTCCGTTAGCCTGTCTACATGGTCTATGCGCTCTGCGCTGCGTGCATGCAGTGCGTGCAGTGTGTTAGTGTAGTGCAGTCAACAAACTCATGTCACAACTGACACAAGACTCAGAAAACTAGTCAACACACGGACTTGTCATGTACTACACTCGTATCAGTCGTACAGTCATGTAGTCAGAGAACGTGCGTTTCTCCTTGCCGGTGCCGGTGGTTGTGCTTTGAGAAAGAAAATTTTAGTTTTCCGCACCCGCGGCGCCTCATTATTTTATGCTACAGCGATGAGTGCACAACCGTGACAAGTGACAAAACAGCGAACAGCTCTCGGACCTAGAACTTTCAGATTCCATAGCGTTGCGAGCGAAGAGTCGTGCCCGTGGTTCAAAGAGCCTGCACTGGTCTCCAATTGAGTAGTCCGAAATATTCCAAGTTCGCACCAAAACATCACCATGTGGCAGGCTACTGGAGTCTAAGCGAATCTAATCGGTATGGAACAACATTTAGAGCACTCGCATCACTCTTCTCCATTTTGGCGACCCTGCTCTCCAGCGATCTGATAATTACATCAGCCTCGTCTGCAATAGCTGCTGCTTCTTCATCAGTCGGAAACTCAGTAGCGCTCACTCTTGACCGGCCCGCGCGGCCATTTCTTCAGCTGACTACCGAGGTTCTCAGCCCCAGACCGAACTCATGAAGGTCAGCCATGGCTGCATCTTCACTCTCACAAGGAGTTACATGTCTTCGGGGTCGCTTGCACCACCTAATATCAGTCGCCAAATCATTTGAAATAGCACTGACACTATTGCTTTCACGCACTCCTTTTGACCTAGCTGCACGCTATGACATTGCAGAGGGTGTGGCGCGGCCGCATGACGTCATGGCGCAGCCCCCGAAACTCAGTTTTTCAAACGGAAATATCTCGAGAACGCTTTGTCGGAGACACGTGGGGCCAACACCATTCGACTCAGCGGCCGAAACTCTACCGACCCTGAAATTTAAATTTTTCACCGGACTTCCCCTTTAAAGCAGCAGCAGCAGCTCAGGAGCACAATGGTGACTGATAGAAGCATGTTCACAGCCAACAGGGACATGACTCTCCACACGTTATCACTTTCTTTGGCTGGCACTCGGCCAATCTGATCAAGGCCGAGGCTAAAAAGGGCAGTGGAACAGGACAGCTAGCTACCACCTACCTGGTCACCTTCACCGTGGAATGCAATTCTCTGCCCATCCTTCATGCCTTTGTCAATGTGAACCTGATGGAAGACAACAAAAAAGGAACAGTAGCACGCACAATACAAATGCATGACCAAAAGTACTACCATATATTCAAAACTTTTGGAAATATTGGAAAGCAGTTCGTGAAAAGAAACCATTTCCTCTTACCGGCAGCCATCAGGCTTGGGAGAAGAATGCTTTAGAAGAACAAAGAGTAGGACCGTACAGAGGCAATGCAATACAGCCAATACAGTCAGACCTCGTTTATCCGGATCCCTCGCCATCCGGAAGAAAATTGTTGGTCACCGATTTACAGCAATGCTATGCCCACACACAGTGTGTGTTCGATTATCCGGTTCCCTCGCTTATCCGGATATTTTTGTGGAAAACGGATGTGTGCGGTTAAGCGAGGTCTGACTGTCTGACGGGGGTTCACAGTATATTGTATCAGTAGTGCAGAGCTAGCAGAGCTAGCAGCGTACCTCCAGTATCTTCCTCTCTTGTGTGACTTTCTTGCCATTACACGTCTTGCACTTGTCCTTCTCTGAAAGACACGGGCACAGGAAAAGATGCAGTGTACATTCCAGGCTTGTTGAATGAGAATAAAAACAAAGATGGACACACTACCAGTGCATACTGTATTCTGATCCCAGCAGCAGCAGCAGCAGCAGCAGCAGCAGCAGCAGCAGCAGCAGCACCACCACCACCAGTACCAAAAGCACTAGCAGCAGCACCATGACAATGCCTAGGTAAGCATTATAGCATGTAAGGATATGCACATTGCATCCACACCGCCACACAGAGTCAAGGCCAGACAAACAGACAAGCAGGGGTGCACAGATGTGCATACAAATATACAGACACACAACACACAGGTCCCAGATAGACACAGAGCAATGGCCTGCTCATACGACCAGATGGCCAGTTGAGCTGCACCAGCATCACGCATCTAACCTCTGATAGTCTCTCCGGTAGCATTGCACGCTCGACATCTGCTCTGCATTTGCTGTACCATGCCCGGTCCTATCTGTTGAATGTGTACCTAGTGAAGGAAAGACAAGAACAAACCCAAAGACAACGAACACAGGTGACTTGTAGTAGAGAGAACAGTACAATCGTGAAGACAGGTTTCAAAGAACGCAAACTATCGGTAAGAGTAGAAGCTACCTGGCTTGCTACCTTGCAATCCTCTAGGAATCTTTGGTAATAACAATCACACTCCATGCCAGCTTGGCAATCATGCATACAACAGAGTGCTGATTATCCTTTTCTCTCGGGGCGCAGGGCGCCTCTCAATGGAGTTCGGATGAGGAGTGTGTTCAAATGAGGGAACAGCCAGGCATGGTCTAAACATGACCATTCGCATTCCCTCATGCTTCCATCACTTCTCATTCTCTTTAGCATTACCGTGCGAAGTCAATCGTTCGCATTGTTGACGTTTGGATAATCAGCATTCTACTATACAATTGTTGGTACAAACGATCTACAGCCAAAGTTTGATTGCCCCATACACATAGAGCGGATACAGGTTACATTATAGAGGACAAAAACGACCAACTCCAGATGTCGTCTTCCTTTCTGCCAAATCAAGCAGCATGCTAAGTGTGCACAGCTGGCTACATCTACTTGAATCACATGCTAATCACAACAAACGTTCAGAAAGCACGCAATAGTTACCTGTACTCCTCTTCCGTTGCATGTGTCACACTGTTTTACGGCTCCCTTTGAAAGACACACAACACACACGCACACACATATACACACACGCCCGCATGCACACACACAAAAGCCCATAAGAAGTGATATAATCAAGCCTGTGGCTGATGTCTTGGCATGAGTGTTTAGGAATCAAGACAATGAGAAGCAGTCTCACGCATGCACCATATACAGTGCTGATCAATGAAATCCAGTCGCGTCACTCAAGTTTGCGCCTCGCACCATTTCGCGGCCCAGTGTTCGCAGGTCTAGGGCTGCGCAATGCCCGGCGCGTACTTGAGCAACGCGACTGGATTTCATCGAGCAGTACAGTGGTACGTGCACCGCCACTGTCAGCACACAACAACAAGCACAACATTGGTTGCACACCCTACCTCCTTGCCGCCGCGGCCATCACATGCCTTACAGATCACGGACTTCTGTAGAGCCAGGTTGCGCTTGGCTCCATTGTACATGCTCGTAAGGGGCACCTGAAAGACAGAGAATTCCAGAAAAATGAGAGGGAAAGAGAGAGAGAGAGAGAGAGAGAGAGAGAGAGAGAGAGAGAGAGAGAGAGAGAGAGAGAGAGAGAGCACGTGAGCATGTGAAGACCAATGCGCCCACTCATGCCCACACAAATATGTCACAGGATGGACTAGCGGCGTACGGGATCCAGGTTAATGGGAAATTGCAAGTGGCCCCAAAACCCCACTGTAAAATAGTCAATAATGACAATATAAACCCGGCAATCCTAAACAATGTCACTAAACGTTTTGCCGAATGACATACCGGTGCAATGCTGCTCAATCAAATCCAATCACATGAGTCAAGTTTGAGCCCTGCACCAGTGAGCATTTCAGTGTCCAAAAGTCTAGGGCTGCACAGCGCCCTGCACCAGTGAGCATTATAGTGTCCGCAGGTCTAGGGTTGTGCCCTGCACATTTATTTTATTTTATTCCAACATGATTGACTCACACTATCGGATTCCATTGAGCAGCACTGAACGTGCACACACAGACACAAACGTGAGCGGATAAGTATACGAACGCGACACTCACATCGATTTCATGAACAAGATTCTTTCCCTTCCGTTCTCGGCTGCCGCGACCTCCACCGCCGCCGCCACCGCCGCCACCGAAGAACATGTCGAAAACATCCATTGGCGACGAGCCAGAGAAGCCACCGCCACCTTCCTTCAGCGCCTGCTCACCTCCCCGATCATAGAGCTGGCGCTTCTTCTCATCCGAGAGTACTTCATACGCCTGGGAGATCTGCTTGAACTATGGAGGCACACACAAAACATAAATACAACAACAAAAGAAAACAAAAGAAAAAACAGTCAAATTGCAGACAATGGTGGGCAAGTGAGATTAGAAGCACTATACAAGTGTGATAAAACACCACTGCTAATTAGTCAATGTGCAGACTGATTGAAGGATGATTCCCAATGGCCGAATTATCAGCCGTCATTCCGGTGGTCCGCCAATATAACTACATACTTTGAAGTACTAATATTACTAGTACCAGTACTAGTACATGCGCTCAGACAGTCCTGAGCATACAACTATTTGTATGAGGGCATTGAGGAGAAAGAGTATTATACAGTTGATCATCTCCCAACACCCAAGACACACTCTTGTTTTAGACAGTGACTTAGGAGACAGCAACTTTATTATAATCGCAATAAACATGCTACCTTGATCCTAGAGGGTGGTGACGTTCCCACGGCGGATGCGGAAAACTCGGCTTCCAGCCGAGTCTCACGCGAACCGTGAAATTTATTTTTTATTAAAACGTGCTACCAGCATTATGGTATATTATATTGCATGAGTGATTTTTGTCCTTTTTGTTTTATAGCAAAAATGATACTTCCCCAAAAGGAACATGTAGGAAGTGGATTAAAAACCCTACCTTGTCTCCCTCATCTGGGTTCTTATCCGGGTGGTACTTCAAAGCGAGCTTGCGGTACGCCTTTTTCAGCTCCGCGGGTGAAGCCGTGGGGCTAACACCCAGGATATCTTCAACAGCAAAAAAACAACAACAACAAAACGAAGCAGCAGAAAACAAACACACAGGCATAGGCCGAAAGGCTTAATAATAATAATAATTCGCGGGATTCGCGTTGGCATCGCTTGAATGTTCAGAAACACACAAACTAGCCTTCGCTTCCGCAGGCCACCACTATGCCTATGCCTTGCACACCTTAGTGGCGAATGCAGACCTCACAAGTGAGTCAGGGGAGAGTAGGTGAGTCTCTCAACCAATCGGGCGTGTAACGGCCCATAACCCTGTAAACTGCATCCTTGTTACCCTCACTCCGAGCTGTGAGTACCCAGTTGACCGTGGGTGTCGGCGCAGTTCACCACGCATAAAAAGTCTTTACTCACGTAAAAAGTCTTTACACGCTCCCTGCTACCAGCGCGAGTCTCGAACTCGGGACCTCATGATTCGCAGGCAGGCAGGCCTGCAAACCAATCGGCCATATGCGTTGGTAGCTTACTTCACTCTTATCATACTTGGATTCATTCATCAGGCCGTTGGCCGTTTTACAGAAGCCAAAGGGAAGTGTGTTTCAAGTGAGACGAGTCACTAACGAGAACAATGTCAGATTCAGTGTTTACAAGCATTGAAAAAAGAAGAAGGTTCTACAGCACTACTGTGAAGTGCACACAATTTAAAAAACAGAAGAGAGAGGAAATGTTGAGATACAGTTGACACAGCATACATGTATACTCAACATAGATTCCTACTCCTAATGCATACATGCACAAGACATGTTGGCCAGTCTAGGGAGTGCTCGGTAGAATGCTAGACAATGGGAGTAAGACATCACGCTGTGTAGGTCTTCTACAAGTTTCATCTAGACTCGAGGTCACCTAGTACCCCCATACATAATTTGAGAGTCAAAACTCAAACAGAAGAACTTCAATTGAAGGCCCCACCCAGATACGGATTTATATGTAGATATAAAACGTACACAAAATGAATCATTCTTTCGCTGTTAACTAGAACAGTGATCAAATGGTTTATGCCACGCTTTGCATTCAAACTCTTTGTATGCAAGAGCACTATCCTATCACACTTCCAGACAGCACTCACGTGGCAAACCATGAATGCAAGAGGACAGGGCTACAGCATGCCCCATGCAGGAACCGTCCCAGAATCACTGCTTTCTTTATCTCAATCATGCACGTTCAAGATAGACGCTCAGACAGAAAACAAAACCTAACTAACTTAAAAGAGGACTAGTGTTCTCCGCTTTACTGTCCGATGGTGTGCGTAGCAAATAATAGACACCCTGCACGAACCAGTGACAAGCAGACATGGATACTCAAAAACCTGTTCTTATATACCGTACTTCTGCACATATAAGCTCATGTGCTTATGTCCGGACGTAAGCGCACCCCCCAATTATAAGCGCATGGGCTTATATGTGAACACTATTGCCAGTATAGGTGAAGCATCCGGGAGCTGAATATACTGCTAAGCATTGTGATAACACCGTTGTTTAGGACACAGACAAACCTTTATTGCACAAATAAGCGCATGGGCTTCTACCCGAACATGTTCACACAGCAAAAAATCTTTTTTGTAGCAAATTTTCATTTATAATTATTTGTTATAAGCCCATGCGCTTATATGTGGGGAAGTACGGTATGTGGATGGACTACTGAGACCTTCCCCATGTCCGGCTGTTTGTGAAGTCTGGTGCAGGATATCCCGTGGCAGTATAATAAAATAAAAAGACTGAGATCGCGTACATGTAGGCAGGGTTCGTTTACACTTTCCTTCATGTGAAGTTTCACTACACGCCCTAGATTTTTTTCCTGTTTCAGCTTTCATTTCTTTAGTCGATCTCAAAGACTATGAAATTATTCAAAGGCTCCTATATGTTCAACGACTCGACAAAACCAACCAACCAACCAACGTCTCACAGACATCGCGGTTCGCAAGCTTGAAACGGTGTGCGAGGCTACAAGAACATAACAAGTTACGAGTATGGCCTTGCAGTCAGTACAAAATGCACTCGGAAAACAATGTACATGTAGTACATGCCGATAATGAGAAAGATAACAAGTGTACTAAGGATGATAAGGTCGTATATCTCGTATTGTGGCAACACTCGGATGCACTGCTACTTCACACAGTCTAACAATGCTTGCTTCTCAACGTTTCGGTCACTCTGACAATCTTCAGAAACGTTGAGAAGCAAGAATTGTTAAGACTGTGTGAAGTAGCAGTGCATCCGAGTGTTGGCCAGTATTGCCACAATACGAGTTGATATACCGGTAATGAAGCTGCGTGAAGCGACATTCCGAATATATAAGGAGGTACATGCTCATACAAATTCACAAACATTATTCAGCAGCGAAGCCATGTTGCACCGTTGCTGGAATTCAAACTTACCGTAGTACCCCGTTTCTTTCACCATTTCCAAGTTGCCCAAAAGCACCGCAAAACGAAGAATAGACTTCGAAAGAACTTCTGAAACCGAGAATCTGTTTCAACTGACCTTACTATTAAAGTACTTGAAGTCGCACTAACTTTGAAAAGAAAATTGGACTGCAGCACACAAAAGAAACCTCTTCTCTCAACACGCGTGGGGATTTGTCGTAGATAGGAGGATTTATGAACATGAGCTAGCTGTGAGTGTGAATGTGATGTGTACGGCATGAGTCGATTCTATTCTGTGACTCTGTGTGAGTGTCGAAATATTTTGCCTGCAACAGCAGCATGCACAAGCAAGAAAGATCCGGAAAATCCCAGAAAAATCTTGACGCCATATTTATAGTTGGCATAACAACCAGAGCCAGCCGCAATCGCAATCAACGGCGCGGCGCGCTATAGCGCTAGTAGTCAAAAATGGTCCGACCGCGCCCAAATCCGGGTCCGTGATCACGCGCTAGCGGTAGACGCCAAGCCGACATCGAGCGCAACGTCTTGAGTTGCTATGGTTTTCAGGTGACGACCTTGGAGAACACGGCAATATCTTCTCTGTGATTGGTCACTGTTCTGGTCCCTAACCCTGAGTACGACTGAATCGATGCTCCAAAAACCCCGCGAACGTTTGAGTGCCTCATTCTCTCGTTGAGCAGCAGACGAAAGTTTCTTTTCTCAAATTTACTCTCTCACCAAACAATCATGTCAGGACGTGGCAAAGGAGGAAAATCCAAGGCTAAGGCCAAGAGCCGTTCTTCCCGTGCTGGACTTCAGTTCCCAGTCGGCCGTGTCCACAGACTTCTCCGCAATGGCAATTTTGCCGAGCGTGTTGGAGCTGGTGCGCCAGTTTATCTGGCTGCCGTGATGGAGTACCTCGCTGCAGAAATCTTGGAGTTGGCGGGTAATGCTGCAAGAGACAACAAGAAGACCCGTATCAACCCACGCCACTTGCAGTTGGCCATTCGCAACGATGAGGAGTTGAACCGCCTCCTGTCCCATGTTACAATTGCGCAGGGTGGTGTTCTTCCCAACATCCAGGCTGTTCTTCTTCCCAAGAAGACAGCCGTGAAGGCCGCCAAGGGCAAGAGCAGCCAGAGTCTCGAGTATTGAACGACGAATTAACACCACGTCCGTCTTCTTTCACCCGGCTTTTTTCAAAGCCACCACATTTCTCAAAGAGAAACTGTCTTTTCCCGTTTCGGGGTCGTTTCTTGCTTTCGTGTCGGTTGTGCTGCTGACACATTTGAGTTGATACCGGTATGTTATGCTTTTCAATGTTCTGAACTCGGCCCAATTAGCTCTATGGCATCATAAAAATTACGCTCAGTCCTGCAATTATTAAATAATTATTGCAGTCACTAATAATGGAACTGGTTACACCTCTCCCTTTCGAGTTCTTTGGAACTGGGAACAAGATATCAATGAGCCAAGCTAATCCCAAAAGGAATTTGAATCCCGGAAATTTGTCATGTAGATCTACATGGCTGAAGTTTCTGTAGTTGACTTGGAATAGCGATTAGAGTTTATACATGTACGGATGTGATGTAATTAAATTTGTAGATTGTTTTTTGGGGGAGGACGAATACCGGTACCGAATAACAAAGGGACGTTGTAAATAAGAATGATGTCGATACTGTACATACATGGATGGCAGTTTGCACTATTTTTGAGAACACTTGACTCGTGCCAAATAATTTGCCAAGCACTTTTAAAAATAGTTGTGGGCTGAAATTTACATCACACGTTGATCTACATGATCTGATTCGTCTACTCGCTTTGAAGGCAAGAGAGGTCTGCAATCTACACCATGTACCATGCATGTAAATTACACTGGTGTGATCGTGTTGCTCTTTCTTGCTTGCAGCTCCACTTTCTCGAACACAATTTTTTTACTTCTTGCACAGAAAATCTGAGAATACCGTCCAGGGAGTCGTATAGTATTACCGTATACGACTCCCCGGAGAATACCGTACGAGCGTATACCTGCAGTGCTACTACATCCTTGTAGCAAGGGTAGTGGGGCACTAATTTTTCATCAACAAATTCCATCACAGAACATGACTTTCTCGAACACAATTTTTTTACTTCTTGCACAGAAAATCTGAGAATACCGTACAATAGCAGGGAGTCGTATAGTATTACCGTATACGACTCCCCGGAGAATACCGTACGAGCGTATACCTGGTATACGGCAGTGCTACTACATCCTTGTAGCAAGAGTACTGGGGCACTAATTTTTCATCAACAAATTCCATCACAGAACATGACTTATAATGAGGCACATGTATCACTATGGTGCACAATTTTTTAATGCTGATACATTTTACCGGTTTGATCTTGAAACCACGTAGACTCCCAGTCCAGTGGCTGAGTGCAATTACGTTCGAAAGCATTAGGCTTAGCAAAGAAACACTATAAAGCAGGGAGTTGTATAATACAACTCCCTGCAACTCCCTGATAAATAAGTAGTTACTTGCACATAAGCCCGGTTACAAGCTGGGGGGGGGGGGGGGGGGGGCACTGTGAAAGAAGGGCTTTCATGAATTCTCAGAGGCAGGGGCACCACTAGCATTCAAGACTACAGACAAAAGAGGGCTCTAATCGCGGGTACGGTACATGCGTCTTGACACCTGGCTTTACAATACCATGGTACCAGCTGTGAAATCGCCCGACAAAACTCAGCAGAACAGAAGTCAGCAAGTATTCGCACGTAATATCTTGCTAAAAGCGTGTTGATCAGGACTTTTTGCTTGAGTGTGTGTGGAAAAAAATCAGGACTTGATTTTAACAAATTAATTATTCGGCCTGATCTGATTCCTAAAGAAATGAAATGTCCCAGTACAGGTCACCAAGTGAGAACCATGCAAACAATGTTTCCGTATATCGATGTGACACTTCTGTCACAGATTGTTGTGTGTTCTGGGGACGTTCAACACTAGAAAATTATGGACCATCAGTAAGCAGAGTAAGGAGCAAAACTATAAAATTCCATGGGATTTTGTACAAGAGTCATGACCTGCAGCAGATTTCAACTACAATTCGAAAAGGTCTTATGTACGTAAGTATGAGGTTGCTGTATAAATTATATGACATCATCTCACTTTCAGAAGGAATGTTGTGGGCCGTGTGAAAAAGGAAACACGCGCTTGCAGCAGAGAGTAGGAAAGACTACGTAAAGTACTTTTGAAGTACAACAAACACAGACTAAATTGTGTCATGAGGTCACTGCAAACTGATAGTCGCCTTTGCCTTCCTCTTCCTCCTCGCCTTCCTCGTCTTCAGCTTCATGCTCTTCGTGATCGTCATCAATGTCGTCGTCATCCTCGTCTGGATACGGCAGCCCAGGGGGACTGAACATACGAAGGAAGTCGCCGACAAACTCACGACTACGCTCCTCCCAGCGTGTGAGTGCCTCATGTGACCGCTCTTGCACCTCTTTTACTCTGCGTCTAACACGCACTTGACGCTCCTGGAAAGAAGGAACAGGACAAGGGACTACTCAGCAAAACAACACAAATAATTGCCCCGCACACTCTCAGGTTCAGACAGTGAAAGTTTGCTTGCATTCCAAAGTTATACGTGTTACATAGCATCACGTCCAGACACCTGCATACATGAAGACTCTCACAGTGACATCATCACTTTCCTAGGCCCCAGGCACACTGCAGATCTTCATACTATCAGGCATGTGCTATCGCTCACGAGAGATAGACAGCTATGTCGAGAGTGCAGTCAACACAATGAATGCCTCTGTTTATGATAGTTGTGACGACGATGTATCCAAGGAGTGAGTCATTTCTCCCCGGCGTGTGTTGTAATCTTGCATCATCGTACAGTAATTTGAAATAAGTTAACTGTACGATGATGCAAGATTACAACACACGTCGTAGTGAGAATAGCATTGTACAAAACTACCTTGAAGTGGCTTTCACGACAACTGAAAACATACGGTTGCCAGTGATCTTCATGAGTGGACTACTAAGTAAGTCAATAAATTATTATCACGTAAAGATATAGCAATGCAACATTCGTTCAGCACTTAGGGGGCGTTCGTTTTTGATCTACTGGTTTGGGTAGAAACTACTTCTTTCGGTAGAAGTGTTCCTTTTTTCTACTAAAAAGGGTAGAGTCTACGTTCCTCTACCGGCTCTACCAGGAAAAAGTTGGTAGAGGTACGGGATTTCCACCATGATCAAGGAGTTGTACACAACTCCATACAGAAGAGAAACATTTCTCGTACATATCATGAAAACTACTAAATCCGGCAGAACAGCGTTCGTGCACTTACCTCTGCCATCTACCTCTATCGGTAGAGTGACTCTACCTCTATCGGTAGAGTGACTCTACCTCTATCGGTAGAGTGACTCTACCCTATTCTACCAGGTACATGTACAGTACAGGTAGAACATTTCGTCGGTCAATAATTTCGTCCAACTCCAAAGAAAGGGAGTTTGTCCGGTTGTAAATTTCGCCCATGGATCATAAGAGTGTATTGAAAAGCTGGACAAATGGACATTAGTCCGGCATTAAATTTAGCCCAAAAGCTCCTTGGACGAAAAAGACGAAATTAAATTCCACACAAATATTTCTACTTGTACAGTAGCTAAAAACGAAAGCAACCTAACCTTGATGCTCTGGCCATTGAAGAGGCTGAGGAAATCGAGGATAAGTTCTCGGCTCTTGTCTTCCCACCACTGCAAGATTTGATGTGACTTGTCCTCAATCTTGTCGCGAATTTCATGTATCTTTTGCTTGGCCCTAACTTGCCTTTCCTGGAGAAGAGAGCAAACAGGAAAGCAAATATGGTAGCATAAGGAGACAGGGACTTACATTGTGATCTTACTAATGTTCACACACATACACTCACCAAACACACACACACACACACACACACGCACGTGCACACACACACACACACACAGTGACACACAGTGACACACAGTGACACACACACACACACACACACACACACACACACACACACACACACACACACACACACACACACACACACACACACACATACACACACCATTGGACCATTGGACGCCCATCGCCGAAGGCGATGATAGCGATGCTACAGCAGAAGCCATAGCAACTTGTGCTGGGATTGCACCATTCAACAACTTGCAAGGCTGAAGAATTGACCGCCACTATTCAGCCTGGTCTACACCACACAGCTATGAAGTGGTTTTTTCTGGCCAGTGAATCCCTACTTTTTGGTCTTTTTTCATTTTTTTCCGCCCACACATCGCACCACATACTCCGGCATGCACTGGCTGTTGGTAACCAACCAGGAGAATGAAAGAAAAGTCAGGAGAAGTCTGAGAAAGAGAAGAAAGACGTGTGTGACCATAATCCCACACGCACGCACGCACACACACACACACACACACAGTGAAATCAGGCAGAAAAGCAGTGCTTATGGCCACACAAGCGGCGTGAAGCCCATGATTATTGTTTACAAATCGCTTTTCATCCAAACCAGGCTTCTATTCAAGCCACAATTACATGCACACCTGATGCGCAGAGGCACAATTTCAGCTTAAAAGCTACATTCAGAGAAGCATTTTCGAGATGCGCGGTGCGACGGTCACGAAACCGGGAAATCCCCAAATCACACCCATCGCATCGCTCAGGTCATGCAACTGTAGCAACTGGCTGATTGCGGACGTTGAGCTTGGCGTAACTTTCGCAATGCGATATACGATTAGGACCTTCTTTGCAGCAAAGTCGTACGAAAGGTTCAATACTTGCTTGTAGATTTGTAAAAAATGTGTTACGCGAATGCCATGGTGATGTAGACCCCACATTGAACTTTGAGGCACATCACTGGCTTCTTCTGTGAATGGTATGTCACGAGATCGCACCGCAAACATTCTTCAATGAATCCCGCTTTATGCGTCAACGCTCTCTTCCAATTTCCACGTTGCTGTACCAGTGCACAGGCCGGGTGGTTGCGGGCTTGCCTGTGAATCACAAGGTCCCGAGTTCGAGACCTGCGCCGGCAGCAGGGAGCATGTACCGTGCTAACAAATGCGGTGATGCATGCGTCAACTACTTTTAAAACATGCTATGAACTGCGCGGACACACACAGCCAACTGGGTACTCACTGCTCGGAGTGAAGGTAACGCGGATGCAGGTAACGATGTTTCACCCCCTTTCGGGCACTGGTTGTGAGCTTACCGTCTCACCCTCGCCACTTGGAGTTGCATCTGCCACCTGGGTATAGCTATAATCAGATACGGTGGTGGCCTGGCACAAGCAAAACTTCCCTAAGGTGGCTGTGTTCCTAAATATGGTTGTATAGCCGGTAATAATGCGAATGTGCGAACTTTATATTTACTCAAATCATGCTTCTATACGTTCATATAGTGCATGGTCTACGGTAAATATGTGAAGGGTCCTCACTCCTCAACGACTGATTATAACCACCAGATACTGTAAACCGTGAAATTATTGCGATGGTCTAATTTCTGCGAAATTCGCGACCGCATGGAAATCGCGAAATTTAGACAGCGCGAAAAGGAGATCCATGAAAGGTTTAGCAAGAATGCCATTCTGCAATCGCAAAATTAAAACCTCGCAAACCTGTCCGGATTCTGAAAACGCGAACTAAAAACGCCGCGAAAATTTCACGCTTTACAGTATGTGTTCGTGCAAGGAAATAAAAAGCAACAGCGGTCATTAAGAGCAGAGATACCCGTTAATTGCATGAACTCACCTTCACAAAGCTGACATTCAGCTCCTTGCGAGAGTAGCCTCTCTGAAGATTGCGCCGAATGTACTCATCATAGTTACGCACAATGCGAGCAATGACATCGGATGTGGAGATGCCTTCCGTTCTCTGAGTTGCCACAAACATTCCGGCATCTTTGACCATTTTGTAGACATCTTCCTGGCCAGCTGATGTGTATGGAAGGTCGTCGTGTGCACAAAAGTCGATCTGCACGCAACCAAGAAGTTGAACACACCAGCATGCGTGCGAGCACGCACACACACACACGCACACACACACACACACATGCAGATTAGTCAAATTACAAAAAGGAACACGCGTCGCATCAGGGCGTCCGGGACTTGTGCAGGAGGTGTGTGTGCATGCTGGGGCTAGCAAGGGCGTGTTTCGTGGACCACCACGGAAGCACCTCCTCACACTTCAAAGTACAACGATGCAAAAAATACAACATCAAGGAATGTTGTTCTAGCAATGCACCAGCAGGATTGAACTGCGCAAGCTACAAGTTGAGATGTAGGCATTGCCGCAATCAACACAACATACTCTGTGCTCCTCTAGGAACTTTGGTGTCAGTGTCCATTGCGCGCCTTCAATCACTTCATCCACGTATCGGCAATGTGATATGGCATCATACCGCTCTCTCTCCGTCATTACCGTCTTACCCTTCAGGCGATGCGTCATTTCATCGTTGCTTACTGCCAACAAAAAAACCCCATCAACATCAAAAGCATTAACAATACTGTCATTAGCAAGAGCACAGCTGAAAACTTCACAAGGAAGGTCCAATTTCATGCATACTATAGCAGGTAACTACACTAGTACACGGCCTTGCTTGCCCCTATCAGTATGAGCAAATCAATAACCGTATTCACTCGCATACATAGTGCACTTATATTCGAATACAAGGGCACCTCCACATATACGTAAAGGCATGAAAAAAACTCAGGAGCCAAGAGTGTATTTTGAAGACTCGAGTGCAGTACTCATATTGAAAGACAGCCCCTTGTATCCGGAACATTTGATTCTTGGCGAAATGGATAAAATGCCTTTTTCACATAAATAAAGGCATGCACTTGTATGTGGGTGAATACTGAATAGGGTATACTGATGCCTACATCCACACTCAACTGGGTACTCAGAGTGAGGCCAACATGGATGTAGCTAACGAGGTTTCACCCCTTGTCGGGCACTAGTTGTGAGACTTGCCAGCTTACCCGAGCCGCCAGGCGCTGCTGCATCTGCCACCGTGGTATCTCGGACATGGTGGTGGCTCGGTATAAGCGAAACTTTTTTTAAAGGGGGAGTTCACCCTAAAATGAAAACTTCACAACTTGTAGCGAAAAATGCACTGATTTCAACGGTGAAGGTCCCAGGTTGATCTGAGCAGCCGTTTCTGAGTTATACCAGCTGGAAGTTTGCACTAAATTTGGTGACATCATGATGACGTCACTAACTTGCCCAGGCCAGGCCGGATTTACGACAACAGAGAGATAGACTTTGTATGGAGGTAGATGGGGAAATTTCAGTATTTCGGCTCTCTGTTGTCCCAAAGAAGTCGGATCTTTTTCAACCTTCGGTATGGGACATATGGCACCCTACCGGTATCCCGACTGGAACAAATTTCAGTATGAAATTCATTGTTTAATACAGAGAAACAAGAAAGAAATTGGTTTTCCCCATCTGCTCCCATACAAAGTCTATCTCTCTGACGTCATAAATCCGGCCTGGTGTAGGCAAGTTAAGGGGGCAGCCTACCCATAAATTTCATATGGCATTCAATTGACTGTAACTTTGGTGTTTCTCAGTGGATTTGAGTGAAATTTTGACCACACACTCCTGCCACTATGCTGGCCCTCAGGACATGATTTACAAGTTCTTGCGCCTCACTGACAGGCTTTCCAGGCCGGAAAAACTCAAATTTCCGGCATAGTGCCACGGTGTGCGAGCCGCCCAGGAGCCAAACAAATGCATTTACAAATTTTTTCACATTTTCGTGCCCATTCTGTCCGTGCGCGGGACCCAAACCTAAAACAAGTCCAGAAGCAGCCATGGGTGGTGGGGTAGGGCCCCTCAACGTGGCCCTGGAATCTGTTACAACAGAACGAGTGGGCGTTCTCTCACGGACTCCCACAGACCCAAGTCAATTTTTGAATTTTGTTAGGTTTAGCACGTGCTACAAGGTCGTACCTTTGATACAACATCCAGTGCTGGGACCTCCACAGCAAGCCATTTCCACAGCGCTGCACACCAAATCCAGGATGCCCTCAGAAACCGGCAAAGACTGCCACTCACGTTTCACTACTGCCTAGTACTGAATCCTACCTGACTTCTTGACACGGCTCAAACTTGCCAAAGTCACTAAATCAACGTCAACTACAATAATCAAGCCACATATCTGCAACGTCACGAGGGTGCTGGCAAAAGTCCTGCTGCACGGCGGCGGGCTTCGCCCGCCGCCGTGCAGCCCAATACGTGGTTTTTAACGTGATTTTTTGGACTTTTTTGGACTTGGGGCAAAATTCTGCACACTTTCGCGTGTTTCCATAATACGACAAGTTGCGCACGGTCTGCTCACATTCAAATACAGTGCTGCCAACAAATGACAGCATGCAACAAAAAAATCTTTCCTTGCAAGGGCACATTTTCGGCCATAACTCTTGAACGGCTGGTCAGATAGGGACACAATTTTCAGAGAATTTGCAGCTATTCATGCTCTTTCAACTGACGTAGCACTCAATATGAATTTACAAATTAAATTTTTCAGCAAATTTTTGGGTAGTCTGCCACCTTAATGACGTCTCACGGTCATCATGGCGTCACCAAATTTAGTGCAAACGTCAAGCTGGTATTAGGGTTGTCCACATTTTTCGAAATATTTTTGCCAAGTTGCGGATGCAAAATGCAGTCTTGTTGGGGCATTATGCATTCCATAAATTCAGCAGGATTTTCAGGAAAATAAGAGGAAATTTAAAAATTTGAAACTCGGGTATTGAGCCAATAATAAAAGTAGAAAGGAAAAGGACATATGGAATCTAGTTACAGTGGTGGAGAGTTACTCTTAACTCGTTTCCATATGTCCTTTTCCTTTCTAAATTTAAAAATAAAAATAAATCAACCCAATTCGCGAAAATTATGCGACCGTTGTCATGGCAACCAACAAAAAATGGCCGCCTCTGCGTGTTCACGGTTACCGTGACTTACATGAGAGTCTATCGCTGGAAAATTCCATTTTCCTCGTGCTGCATCAAATTTATTTTGACATTGTGGCTTTTACTTTTGACAGCTACTGTAGCAGTGATGAAGTGATGTGGAAGTATGGCGAGCAAATCTCCTACTACCCTTGACACTGTTGACTCTTCGACTTCGTCTTCGTCAGAGGGAGATTCTGAGCCTGAGAGTGAAGCTGTAAGCACGAGACCGCCATCGCTGTTGGACCGACTTCTCCCTCCGACTGTGTCGGAGCTTAGTCGGAACAGAAAAGTGCAAAGAAATTCTGGATCAAAGAAGAAGGGCTCATACAAGCCGCCATTTCTGAAGAGAGCTCCTAAAACAAAGGGGCCAGCTGTCAGGGTGAAACAGTTTCCAAATGAGTGTTTCTGTGAAGTCTGGGAAGTTGTTTTGTGAGCCATGCCGTCACGACTTGGCCCCTGTTAAAAGCACAATCGAAAAGCACATTTCTTCTGCCAAACACGTGGACGCCAAGAAGGACAAAGCCACTTCTGCGGCAAAGCGCGTTCAAACACTGATCGACTGCCGTGATTACCTCGATGAGACGAAGGCGAAAGGCTCCACTTTGCCTGATGATGTGCTTGCCTTCCGCGTGGAGTGTGTGAAGACGTTCATGAGTGGAGGCGTTCCTCTCAACAAAATTGACCACTTTGCACCGCTGCTGACACAGCATGGACAGCGGCTCACTGGAAGGCAGCATATGGCTGACCTCATCCCGATGATAAGAGATGCAGAAATCTCAGCTGCATAGAAAGCCATTTCGGACAGGAAATGCAAATGCATCGGACTGATCTTTGATGGGACTACTGCAGTCTGCGACGCCATGGCCATCATAGCACGCTGTGTGGATGAGGATCTGACCTTCCACCAGTACTTAATCTCTCCGAAGTTGGCAGCCGAGAGTATGACTGGAGAGCAGGTGGCACAGCGTTTGCTTCAAACCCTGGCTGTGACGTACCAAGTGGACACTCCGAGCCTTGTTGCTGTGATGCGCGATAGGACATCAGTGAATGACGTGGCCATTCGCACAATCAGGGCGCTGTACACGTCATTTATGGATGTTCGGTGTTTCAGTCATACACTTGATAATGTTGGCCGAGCGATCGAAGCGGACACTCTGAAAGGATTCGTCTCAGATTGGATCACTCTGTTTGCCCATAGCCCGAAGTCGCGCCTACGTTGGAAGAGCCAGACCAACGTCAGGATCCGTTCCCATAGTCGCTGGTAGTCCCGATGGGAAGTCACGCAACAGATGCACGACTTGTTTGGTGACGTTGCGAGGTTCATTACCAATGTTGAGGATACCTCCATCACGCTGCGCCGCCTGACAGCTTGTATTGATTGTCTGGAGACAAGGGCTCGCATCCAAATGCAACTGGCAGCAACGGTCGAGTTCGGCGAGCGGTTTGTGAAAGCCACGTACCGGTTGGAGGGTGATGGTCCTCTTTGCTTGAAGGCGTACGAGGAGATCAGCAGCCTGGTGCGCTTTGTCAACACTGATCCTGTCCAGCTTCCTTCCACGACGGCTGTTGCCCGGGTTCTCTCCAACGGCGTTGCCAACCATGTCCTAGTTTGGATGGAAGTGGCTCATGAATGTATCCGTCCAGCAATCCGCTACTTCCAGGGACGCTTTGGAGAAGGTGGTGCTCTCTTCACGACATTGCAGGCTTTCCGTGCAGCACGGCTCTTCAATCCTGCCAAGGTCAATGAAATACAGCCCAACGACGACGATGTGGATGATCTTCGGTCATTCCCATTCATTTCTGCTGGTGATGTTGCCGCTATGAAGGGTGAACTTCCCGACTACCTGAGTGCCTGTGAAGACACCCATGCCGGAGTAGACGTGGTACTGTGGTGGAGAGGCCATGGAGAACTCGCAAATTAGCGAGCTGCGTTCCAGAAGACGCTACTAGTCCAGCCGTCGTCCGCTGCTGCCGAGCGTGTCTTTAGCCTGCTGGAAAATTCGTTCGACAGCAGGCAGGAGCATGCTCTAGAGGACTACATTGAAGGTTCGATTATGCTGCAGTATAACCACTAGGTGGTACGCAGATGTCGTCAAGAAGTGTGTTCTATTGCACAGGCTTGCTGCTATGTGGCATGTCACAGATTCCCCCATTTTCCCCCTTTTTTGTACATAGCAGCGCAGGTTTGTCCACGGACATGGCAAAGAGTGTACGTGTCATGAACCTTCTTCCGTCTTCAAAGTGATTCACAATGCAAGTACCTTTAAAAAAATACCGTTCTTGTAACACTTGCCTTTGGGTCTTAGTACATTCAGTACTGTGGTATTGGTTTATAAAGTATGTAACATTGATAGGGTGTTATGGACACATAACACTGTCCTGAAGTAACTTGTAGTTCCACTATAAAATCGGTGAATCTTCGACGCCTGAACTTGGTGGTTTTGTGGTCTGGCTGTTTGACACACCCTCATGTTTTCGACTGGGGTCGTGAGGAGTGAGTTCCTGCTTTGGGCATGGAAAAGGGCAAAATATACCCCAAGTTGCAATTTTTCCCCGGGGATGCATTTTTACCCCCAAGTTGCAAAAAAGATGCAAAACATAAGGTGGACAAGCCTAGCTGGTATAACTTGGGAACGGCTGCTCAGATCAACCTGGGACCTTCACCATTGGAATCAGTGCATTTTTCGCTACAAGTTGTGAAGTTTTCATTTTAGGGTGAACTCCCCCTTTAAAGCTGGGTTATGTTTCTCAACACAATTGCATTGCCTGATGTGCGAACTTTACATTATACTGAAGTACATGTAGAGTGCTCTAATTTCAGAAATTTTCGGTCCTCAATATTTTCAAAATGGGTTAGGTGAACAGAAATTTTAGGTGCAGAGAAGCAGTTCCCTATTGTTTTATGTGTGTTAGTGTTTGTTCAGTGTATTGAAATTTTAGGTATGAAACAGATGCACCGAAAGTACCGAAAATAAAAGTACACCGAAAATTTGTGAAATTACAGTAGTTCGAAAGCTGAAGTATTTACAGTAGTACAGGCTCTTATTCCATAGCCCACTGGACTAATGTTTGTGCTATGCATTGGTTCAGTGAGTAACTATAAGCATGTGAAACTGGAATAAGAAAGTTGTAGTAGCACTTGGGGCAGGGCATGAACTATGCCACGAAAGCAACACTAAACGCAAAGACACCACAAGGAGCGTGTGGGCAGTACATGTAAAAGTTAAAACGCTGCCTTCTTGTTCATATGTGTTGCATCACAAGTCTTCTGCATACTTCGAAGTACTAACAATTAGTCTCCAAACACAATAATATTGTGTTTGGAGACTAATATATTGAGTTGATTTTGCAGGTAGATTACACTTCACAATATGTAACAGAGTGGCACAGGTGAGAGGATCGTCCCAATAAAAGCATCACAGAAGGAAGCACGCCCACACTTACCTCCAACAATGAGGTATACATTGGGGAACACATTCTTAGCCTGCATGAGTGCCCGCGCGTGGCCGCTGTGGAACATGTCAAAGATGCCATCGGCATACACCCTTACTGGACGGCCTAAACAGACATAGCACCACAATACCAGACAACACAATATGGTGCAATAAGACAGATGTCCAGCACAAGTGGCAAAAAAGGAAAACATGCCCATGCCTCCTACTGCAGAACTGCAGCTCGGCTGTGTACACTATGCTACTTCACACCGTTGATTTGCTGCATCAGCTAGACGTAATCGGGGAATTCTGCCTCGTCAGGCATATTGCAGTTTTCATGCACTTCTTACACGCCTAATTTATATGGTAACCGGTGCGCGGCAGCTCAGACTCTCGCATGTATTATACACATACATGATATACATCAATTACTATTGGTAATAATTATTAAGACTAAAAATACCGTTGGTCGATCGCAACACCGGCCAACACTCAGCTACACTGCTAGCTCACATTCAATCAACCTGAAGATGGTCATAGTGGCCAAAATGTTGAGCAAAGACTTCCGACTGATGGTGTGGAGTAGTAGTGCTGTGTTGGCCAGTGTTGCCATAGACCGATCTGTGCTTACATGTACAATGCCATTCACAGCGTGCGTACCTTTTCGAATCGTTGCCAAGAGAAGAAAAAAAAGTACCCAAACGAGTCTATCGATGGCTGTTCTTGCGAACTTTCTCTAACCAGTATGGTAGATCAGCTTCTTGGTAATCTTGCGTTCTAGGCGATGGTACGTAGAAAGTGCGAGCGATGAAAATTCTTTCCAGGCCGTCCGGGAGGGCCTGCTCACCAAGCCGACGAGCAGAGATTCCAGGTGTCAAGGACTCCGAGCTTTTCCAGGATCATCGTGATGGAGAGGAATTCCACTCGACTCATGTCAAATTGCAGAAGAAGCCATCCATGAAATCTGTTGCGGTATCGCTCCAGCCCAGTTTGTCAGCTGTACTGTGCCGACGTTTTGTCGTTTTTGATAAGTGACAGCTTACAGACTGAGTGTACTAGTGCAACATGGCTCAGTACACATAGAATGGAGTTTTGTTTCTTCTTCTGTTTTTTTTGTTGTTGCTTTTTTTCCGCCTGCCCGCGTGTCTTTTCCAGGAAAGTTCCCATGCGAACCCACAGAATTAACTTGGTGTGGCCTAAAGGGGAAATGCATCGATTTTTCAAGTAGGGTCCAGAAGAAAGACTACTTGATGTCGGTTCGAATGGCATATCTCTCGCTTGCATACGATAAGCCAAACTTGCCAAATCGCCAATTGTATGCTCACGTTGTCATAGCGACCAGCACAGTGATGACGCACATTCTGCTTAGCTCCGTGAGAGAGAAGGTCAATAGCTGCAGAATTTGTGGTCATTTTCAATTGTCTTATTGTGTTCACGATGTGAAAGAAGGGCTGTCTTCAATGCTGTTAGTGCCGTGAACTGTTTATTGGCTTTCTCCTGCATTTCCCTGGGCTGACTGTAGCCTAGGAAATGGTTCCTCTAGGAGAAGATGCTTGGTATTCGCCATCTCTCCTGAGAAATTTTCAGCAAACTTTCAAAAGGTATGACATTATTTCGTTCGTCAATCTCCACCAGTGGTCTCACCTGGCTTCAGAAGATGTTACGAGAGATAGGAGAGTCGCCAGGTAGCATCACATCCATCTCCAGGAAGTGGGAAGCGCAAACGGCAAGGTCCTTGGTTGGGGCAAATGCTGAACGTCTGATTCATCCCAACCAAGATTTCAGCACTTTGTTCGTCACTATTTTCGCTAGTCTGCAGATGTCTCCGCACTCCAGCTTTCTCCTGTCGGTGTCGCGTCCCAGTACACAACCGAGAGGACTACTAATAAACAGTTCTGAAATTCACGGCACTTACAGCATTGAACACAGCCCTTCTTTCACTTCGTCAATACAATAAACCAATTGAAAATGACCAAGTTCTGCAGTGATCGACCTTCTCTCTCACAGAGCTAAGCAGAATGTGCGTCATCACTGCGCTGGTCGCTATGGCAACGTGAGCATACAGTTGATTTGGCAAGTTTGGCTTATCGTGTGCAAGCGAGAGATATGTCAATTGTCATTCGAACCGATGTCAAATTGTCTTTCATCTGAACCCAAAGACATACTAGACTATGCATGGTAAACAAACAAACACACACACACATTCACGCGCACACACACTGTAGATCTGGTCTGCTTGGTTATACGCATGTACGGTGTACATGAAATTTCAAATTGTAATTTGTTACAATCATGTACATACCAGATGTATCATTCTTGGCTTCCTCGATCGTCAGCTTCTTCTCGCGAGGTGGTGGCTTTGGAGAATTTTTGACGGCTGGCCGTTTGAAGGCAGCTACACCAGTGACAACTTCGTTCGCGCTATTATCATGGTCATCTTCCAGTACAGAATGTTTACGTTTTCGCCCTAAACGAGATGCCATGGCTAAGTCTAGTCTGGGTACTGGGGTCTGCAAGGCTTCCACGACTTACACACTCAATCAACATCCGGTTCCATCAGGGAACTTCTGAAGTTGAAGGTCAGATCTTGCTCCAAAACAATGATCAAAAAATGGGCAGCCACAAGGAAAGTCGAAGGTCGACGAACCACTAATCTCGTACGATCAAGCTTTCATGTTTGTGCTTGCCATTTGCCAAGCAGATCAGCAGACACATCGACATCAATCATGTCACCAGATGATCACACATATCTCACGTCGACATGCATGACGTCACGTGTACGTGTACGATCGAATGGATCGATATATGCCGAAAATTTGGAAAAAATGACGAACCGAAAAAAAAGAGCTCCGGATCGCGGAGCTAGCTAGCTACAGTTTTTTTTTTTTTTTTTTTTGGTAAACCGGCCTCTTGTACGGGCAGAATTAAGTAACACAGTGATACAATAAAAACAAGTACCAGTAGTTACATACATGGACCATACGAGAAAAAGCAGTGATGACGAGGCATAAACAAGTGTCTAGTGCTGTATGGCAGCTTCCGAGACAGCGAGTCGAGCGGATGACTCAGCCACCTCCGGGTGCGAATACAGCCGTCGTGCACCACGCAGGCAAGCCACGCCTGCACGGAGAAGGGCGAAGCTGAACCTGCAGCGGATCCATGCCATCACTGCAGAGTATGGCTCACCAGATTTGTCGGAGACCATTGCAGCTATTCTCTTGAGGAGAGCGGCAGCAGCTCGACCAGTACCACCAGTTGCAGCGAAAACCACAGGGATGAAGGTTCCACGCTCGACCTCCTTGACGCGCTGTTCGTATCGCCTCCGTTTTTCACGTTCATTCCATTCATAAAAAAATGGGTCCTGGCTCTGGCGAGCTCCCGTATTTGGCGATTTTTCGTGATTTCATCGTACACAGTGCAGTGCTGCGAACTTTGAAATTTGAAAAAGGGTCCAAAAAGGGTGCCTGAACTGGGGTTCGAACCGCAGAATGCACTGTTGCAGGCGGGGTCAAACGGCCTGGATTTTGATGGTTTTTCCCAATTCAGTGCTTTCGGGGCAAAACCTGGCCGAAATCCTATTCTTGCTATGGCTTGCTTTTTGGACAAAAAAAACTTCAGAAACATAATTGGAAGAGGATTCCATATGGGATTGCAGAAAAAAATTCTAAAAAAACTCAACGTTTGACCCATTTATGGCCAAAAGCTAGAAGTTCATTTTTTTCTGAATGGACTGTAGCTAGCTAGCTAGTTCCAGGCTAGTATCACGCCTTGTGCACGTGCAAGCTGCATGCATGCAAAAAAAGATAGCGCTGTATATCATGTAGCGCTATCGCAGTATCGCGCGATACGCCAAGATCGGGCCGGCGCCGTGCCGGGCTGGCGCTCTATGCCGCAGTTAGCGGGCGCGGAGTCTTGCTGATGGCACCGCGTACCGTTAACCGCGCCTTGTACCCGGCGTGCAGGGCGCCTAGCGCCTATGCTTGAAGAGGTGACACGCGGCGCCGGCGGCGCTACCACGTCAACAAGCTCACACGTACGTAGTCTCCGTACGTGGAGAACAGGATCCGGAAGCGCGCGCTTGCAAATGGTGCGAATCAGAGAGTTTTACCGTTTACGACTATTTCTGTACGTGGTACCGGTACCGGTACAGCTGTACGTACATGGTGCGTCCAAGCCAAATGCCTGAAATCAAGAAAATAATTTTTAATTTAATGGTGAGCTCAGCGCTAGCGCTAGCACTGAGCATGAGCTCACCATTTCAGGGCATAGCATAGCTAGCATGCATAGCTAGCATGCATAGCGCAGTGTTGAAAAATGGCGAACGTAACGTCGTTACGAACACACAGTACAGAGGGATCTCGGGATATCCGGATCTATCGTGTACTGACGTCATGACAGAACACACGCATGCGTCGATGCACACGTCGGCAGCGCAGCATCAAGAGCTTTTGAGTTTGAGATCGAGTCAAAAGCACAAAAGTACAAAGTGTTGTTGAAAATTGAAAATTCTAGTCTTCATGCGTGGGTAAAGTCTAAGATTTTTATTCCTCTTCTCTTACACTATTATAGCCTAGTTACTTCCAAGCTGAAGGTTGCTGCTGTGCCTTCCATATCTATACTCGTTTTGCAGGGAGCTGTGAGCATTGCGGCTCCCTGTTTCCACAATGTGGGTTTTCGAGTATTTCACGTCAGCACTGCAATTTTTAGGTAGAGATTTGCTGTTGACTTTCCTCTCAACGAGTTAGTGAGGAGAACTGAAGTCCGTATCGTGCTTCCTTGCAGGTCTTTGGAAGAAGTCGGGAAAGCTCCTGTTTTTGGGCTTGGACAATGCCGGAAAGACAACACTTCTTCACATGCTGAGAGATGACAGAATGGGGCAACACGTCCCCACCTTGCATGCAAGTACGCAGGTGTCGTTTGCTTATTGATTGATTGGCCCGTACACTGACTGGTACATGGTATGGGTTTGTCCGGTGTTGCGCAGCGTCCGAGGAGCTCAAGATGGGAGGCATCACATTTACTGCTCACGATGTTGGTGGGCACGAGCAAGGTTGGTTTCATTTGAATTCGTATTCCTGAGAATCCAATGCCATCATTGAATAACGCAGCAGAATCGCATGGCAGGTCGATTTCACACTACTAATATTCAGAAAGCAATCCATGTCTGGCTGGGGAAAGCCACGTTTCTATTCTTCTTTTTCACATTGCATTTCATTCAGCACCGTTTCTGTTTTTTTTTTTTTAATTATACACGCTCCCCAGCCGAGAAACGTCAAACGTACCATATATGGGTGCTGGTCTTTGGTTTATTATCGTATTCACGTTTGCTGTTCCTTGCTTCCATTACGCCGTTCTTATTCTGATTTTCATGGGACCGCGGCAGCATGGATTTTAAAGTGTCCTTACAAAATCTCGCGGACATGTGAAATTTATTTTACAAAGGCATGAGCTTGGCACATCCCCCTATAACATCTGTCATGCGTGAAGGCTCCTGGCACTGGTAATTGTCAGATCAACAGCTAGTGAAGCTCTGAATGTTAACATTTCAAAGATGCCCTCGTAAAGTGTGCCCCCCCCCCCTGCCTGATGATCGTGATTAACGTAAAACTAACTGAGTCGCAACATAACTTTCTCTCTCTCTCTCCCTCTCTTTCTCTCTCTCTCTCTCCCCCCCCCCCCCCTCTCTCTCTCTCTCTTATAATTATTGTATATCATTGTGACATGGTCTGCAGGAACGTTGTTGAGGCTAATAGTTATACAGCCATTCAATAGCGACATGCATTGAACACCAGTATGTCACGGGCTATGGAACAGCACGTATAGTCTTTCCATACTCTGCAAGGCTTGAGTATCTACTGAGGCATCTACGATGCATGTTCTACTTTTGATATTGTGTGTGTGTGTGTGTGTGTGTGTGTGTGTGTGTGTGTGTGTGTGTGTGTCATTTGTCAGTTGGCTATTGCTAGTGAGCTGGCCTGGCATAGTCGAGGACACCTCTTGCCGAGACCATGCAATTGTGCATGTAAAGGCAAACTATACTGTTCCTTGTTTTGTGCTGCAGCTCGTCGTGTGTGGAAGGATTTCTTTGTGGCCGTAAATGCTATTGTATTTATCATTGATGCATTCGATCGGGATAGATTCCAGGAAGCTAAAGAAGAACTCGATGTAAGTAGTGTCTTCCTCGTTGCATTCATATTTCTTGTAAGTACATTGACTTGTCTCTATTTTCACTCGTCGATACCTTGTGAACCCGAGCACGTGTGTGTGTGTAGCTGTGTGGTGTGGACCAGGCTGAATAGTGGCGGTTAATTCTTCAGCCTTGCAACCTGTTGAATGGTGCAATCCCAGCACAAGCTGCTGTGGCTTCTGCTGTAGCATCGCTACGGCGATGGGCGTCCAATGGCCCAATGGTGTGTGTGTGTCACTGTGTATGTGTGTGTGTGTATGTGTGTGTGTGTGTGTGTGTGTGTGTGTGTGGATGTTATTACTAGTACTTTCTCTGATTTGTTATGATTGTCTCTTAACTCGACTTACGGTCCTTTGTTATGCTGTATTATGATTTATCGCTACACCAACACGCACAAAACCCTCTGAGACCCAAAAAGATGCGTTTATGGTGCTGTACTCTGCTGTCGCCTTCATCACTGAGTATAGTTTCATGGCACCAGAGTGATCGACTTTCGCGTCATCTTTTCGTGTTCTTCGTCACTTCCGCCGTCACCCATTTCTTTTGCTATCCGACCGCTGGTAACAATCCAGGTTGTTTGCCGAGTTCCTTCACTACAACGGTATCAAATTCAGCTGGAAGAATACAATTACTGTACAGGCAGAAAACTTCGTCGGTCAATAATTTGGTCCAACTCCAAAGAAAGGGAGTTCGTCCGGTTGTAAATTTCGTCCATGGATCATAAGAGTGTATTGAAAAGCTGGACGAATCGACATTAGTCCGGCATTTAATTTAGTCCAAAAGCGCCTTGGACGAAAAAGACGAAATTAAATTCCAGACGAATATTTCTGCTTGTACAGTACATGACTGTACATTCAGCTTCTCTTCATAGCAAGAATTGTACAGCGGTCTGCTATGCTGCAGTGTTTGCCAGTACAGCAGAAAGGAATGGCAATTATAGCCAAAGATTCGCTTGTGCCAAGCCACCACCATGCCTGAGATACCATGGTGGCAGATGCGGCGCGTATCTGTGAGCGTTTGATGGTAAGCTTCACAACCAGTGCCCGACAGGAGGGCTGTGAAACCTCGTTAGCTACATCTACTCTCACTCCGAGTAACGAGTACCCAGTTGACCGTGGTGACAGTGTAGCACTTCAGTCATCTTGCATTTTCACCTGTACGTAAGCTTACTGTGCTTCATAGAACCATGATGTGTGCTTGTATCATTAATTTTGTTTTATTCTTCAGGCACTCCTCCGAAACGAGCAGGTGATGAATGTCCCGGTGCTGATTTTGGGCAACAAGATCGACAAGTATGGTGCTGTGTCGGAGGCAGATTTGCGTCAAGTGTTCGGCCTGCATGGCACGACAGGAAAGGTGAAGGTCTTTCCTGTGATATTGTAATAGCTACATGAGTTTTAAAACCTGTGTCGGTTGTATTGACTCCGACAAGTAATCTACAGTGAAACTACAGTACCTTCAAGGGACGTAAAACTCATCCCTTTATAGCAGTGGTACTCAATTTTGTACAGCTGTCTCAAGGAACTGTGAGCAATGATCATGCTTATGTTCAGGACCATTTCTACAGTTTGACCCACAGAACATGTTGTGATTACTGAACTAGTACTAATTATGCCATGGTGCCACATGTTGTGCTCGTGACTGGATGCTCTGTGAGCTTGGATTGTGATACAGTCTTCCACCACGAGCTTTTTCTGGTCCTGTTTTGAACTACTATGGGAATTCACAGTACACCTGTTTATGTCCTGATGGCCATCTGTCATTCTTTCTCTACCATTGTCTGTTTTAGGGCAACATCCCGAAGGGGGAGTTGCATGGACGACCCATGGAGCTTTTTATGTGCAGTATATTTAAGAAGCAGGGCTACGGAGAAGGTAAGGGACCCCTGTCTGCTATTCACATCTCCTTCCTTTCTTTCATTCACATAAGGCAGCTATGTGAAATTGTGCTCCTCCTCCGAGACCAGAACTCGTGATACCTTGAACCGTAATCTCGCGCATATAAGGGGTCGTCCGTAAATATCGAACTTTTTTCACAAAACGAAATAATTTCGTTATGGGGTGGGAGGGGGTTGACCAATTTCGTTTCAGAAAACATTGATTCATGTACATGGCCGTTGTATATACATGTATATCAACATTTTTTACGTTCTGAGGGGGAGGGAGGGGTTGGGTCTAAACTAAAATAATTCGTTTGGTGAAAAAAGTTCGATATTTACGGACGGCCCCTAAGATCATCGTCTTATAAGTGAATGAAAATCACGAAACCACACGAGGATCATCAGACATCAGCAATGACAATACTGTACAGGCAGAACATTTCGTCGGTCAATAATTTCGTCCAACTCCAAAGAAAGGGAGTTCGTCCGGTTGAAAATTTCGTCCATGGATCATAAGAGTGTATTGAAAAGCTGGACGAAACAACATTAGTCCGGCATTTAATTTAGTCCCACTGTGACTCCCACAGCTCCTTGGACGAAAAAGACGAAATTAAATTCCAGACAAATATTTCTGCTTATACAGTAGAATAGGAGTGTCATTCATTCGCTGTCACTGTCATCATTTGAGCATGCATGCACGCCATACTTGCACATGTACATGTTTGAAATCTTTTTTTATTCTCACGACATGTTGGTGCGATGTTCGTCTCTCGCAGATAAGACCATGTTATTATATTCGAACTAAAATGCACTTGTGAATGGTCCGAAATTAGCGACTTCTCGATTATAAGACCGTGGCCTTATGCTAGTATGCCCGAGAATACGGCACTTTCCCGCTCCAAGTTTGCAAGCTCAGATGATCCATTTGATTCAGCACAGGTCTCGTAGTGCCGTCCTGTCTAGGTGAATATCTGGAACTGTCTTGACATCGGGGAATGATTATCCTTAAATAAATACATACAAAAGAGAAAGACCAAGGAACTACAAGTTACGCTATACTGTCCACTAACACCACCAGTTACTAAACAATCAGCTCATGCGATAACATTGCACAACACTGACCGACGGTACTGACGCTAGAGTTGTTAGCCAGTTAGTTGCAGAACGTCAGTACCGTCGGTCAGTGTCGTGCAATGTTATCGCATGAGCTGATTGTTTAGTAACTGGTGGTGTTAGTGGACAGTATAGCGTAACTTGTAGTTCCTTGGTCTTTCTCTTTTGTATGAATTAAACCTTGGCTCTCCATCTGAGTCCATTCTTAAATAAATAAACAAGCGTTTCGGAGACAGCAGTTTTAACCCTTTATTGGCTGGCCCATACATTGATCGAACACCGATGTTCGATGGAGTAGGCCTTTTGAAAGTATCGTAACTTGGTCAAATCTCGGTCTCTTGGAGAGATCGAAATATGTAGGTCGAAGAAAAAACTCTCAGCTGTCGCCTCGAACAATTGGCAAAGCGGTAGGATAAGCGGTTCTTGAGTTATAGCACTCGTAATGTTGGTCCCGGGAAATTTGCGCTTAGACCGAGATGCGTGGGTCAACGGCTGGGATTTTCCCTGCTTAGGCGAGACCAAAATAAAATCGAGATTCCCGGGCAGGACCCATGTAAAATTGGTGCGGGCGGGCGAATTTTATTTTTTATTTTTTTTCCCATGTATGTACATGACTTTACGTGTGCATGCCATGTTGAACTTTTTTACAGCATTTTCCGGTAATTTTTATTCATTTTTTACAGACAACAGGTACGCGGTTTACCCGTTCTATTTTTCTGTATTTCGGCCAACGATGGCCCTGATCTGTACATCAGGGAGTCGTACAAGCTCGGGTTTGTGTGACTCCACGTGACAGATCTACTCACACGATCAGTGCTGTACATGTATGAACTGTTCAAAAAATATATATTGGCTTTGGCTCGATTTTGGTGCGGGAGGGCCCGGGAATCTCTATTTTTTTTGGTCTCGCCTTACGTCACCTGTTGACAAGGCTACACCGATTCAACTTGAAAAGTAGGTTCCCCGGGTCTCTACCAAAAAATTGAGTTAGATACGAACAACAGGAGTGAAATGGTGGATAGAGATCGATGTCGAGCGTGAGCCCAGCGCTGGTGTGCCTTCCCTGGCTTGCAGCGCTGGGCCAGTGCATCCCGTGGAGCCGAGTGTAGGCTCATCGCGCTCCTCTCGTCAAGGCCTTTGCAGGATGCCCAAGATCGTGGAATTTGTCCAGTGCAAACTAAAGTTACGTCCAACTTGGGTATAGATTTGGTGATTGTGTGGGCTTGCTTATATTTTAATCGGCCAATAAAGGGTTAATATAGCAACAAGGACGGCTAATTGCACTGTAAGCATTTCCTAAAAATTAATGTCGACATGTATGAGTAAAATGCGACACGATGATCGCAAGGCACACAACGAAAGGATTATATTCTTGCTGCTGGAATGTGGCAGGCAAGTGGTGTAGTGCTTGGGCTGCGCTGTCCCTGGTGCTGACCTTTCGTATGTCTGTGCACATGTACGCCATGGCTGGCAAACGCCTCCTCCTCATCTATATTGGCACTGATTCATCTTTAGCCACTGGAAGGTGTAATAATAATGTGTCCGTGTCTGTGTGCGCGCATGGTGTTTTGGTTTATGTCCTGCAGGATTCCGCTGGCTGGCACAGTACATTGACTAACTTTGCCGTGCAGCACACTTTGGCTGCACTCTACGCACCGAGTGCTCTTGCTGTTGGTTTGGTATGGATGTTGTATTTATTAGCCTACATATGGTTATTTTTTTAGTGCGGCTAGATGGTTGCTGGCACACACCATGGAGGCGAACTGTGTTCAGTGGTGACCCGCATGTCCGAGCACAATACTGCCTGCCATGCCATCCATTCTCTGCATGAACATCTGAATTCGAACTGTGGACTTTAGCCATCAGCATGCTGTTGCTTTTACTGTTAGATGCGGGTCATGTACGATCTGCTGCATGCGTTCGCTGCACATACTGGCAGAATTACCGGTATCAGCCACACCGAGACGTATCTGCCCACCCTTTACTTGCCAACACCATGCTTGCTACTCCTCTACATGTACCTGTAAATATGTTCAACAAAAGTAATCTGCTGGTAACGATTGTGCTTGTTATTCAAACTTCTAACTACTTGTAATATTGTTCATGGAAAGCAATCTGCTGGTTCTGATTGTGCTTGTTATTGAACCTTCGACCAACGGATTTCGTTATGGTTTTTGGTCGCAATGTGGGCCATGACATGATAATCTGGTCACATTTTCATGCATCGTCATGATCGCATGTTTATTATATACCAAGAGCACATAGCCACCAGGATAATCTTGATTTTGCCCGTGGGTCAGGCAGAGATGGATGTACGCATACTGCGCGTATTGTGCTTCTGGTTTTCACGACTTGTGGTGTTCTGGAAGCTGTGAACGTTTTGGAGACGAACTAGTTATTGCAATGGACCACTTGCCATTTGTACAGGTCCACGAAATCCCGTAGAATCCCGTAGACCCGGAATGGTGTTGAATGTGTGCTATGCATGTGCATTTGACCAATTTTCGCGTCATAATTCAATGACCAGCAATCGCTTTTCCAGCTTCTTCACTTTGGTTAGAACCAATGACTAGCTAGATCTTTGTCAGAAAAAGGTTTTCGTATGAAATGCCTTCAGGCCCCATTTCTTAGTGGAAATAGCAGAAAACACAATACTGAATAGGGTCCTGCACATTCAACACCCTTCCGGGTCTACGGGATTTCGTGGATCTGTACAAATGGCAAGTGGTCCATTGCAGCAAGAGTACACTCTTGATTGCAGCAAGAGTACTCTTGATTGCAGTGATAGACCGTGTTTATAGTGGAGGACAGCCACTGAAGGTGTTGGAAAGATGATTGATTGGCTGCAGTACAGTGGAGCCTCCGAGTATTCAAGAAGTGAAAGTGTACTGTACTGTTGGGTAAATAAAAGCAGATGAAAATGAACACCACCAGGCCAGGAGCTGAGCAGGGAGTAGTTGTCTTTTGCCGTATACAAATCGGGAAATTGGATTTGAATGTGTGTGGTGTGGCCGCGCTCCCGTATTTTTAAAATCCGGAAAAACCCGGTTTTCATGTACTCTTGCCGGTACGTATGAAAATCAATGGTACGGGACAGCGCCATGCCAACAGGCAAATGCCAAGGACGTTTTGCTTGCGGACCGGACAACAACAAGTCTAATTCAAAAACACGAAGGCTGCAAATGTGTAAAACGATGTAAATGCAATGTTGCTGGAGTATGCAAAGGGAAAGAAACATGCCGAGAAGACGTGATGGCAGTTCCTGACTGTGTTCATAGTGCAATAGAAGTTTGTTGCTAGCCATTGGCCGCGGAAGAAATCCGGCTTTTCTTGAGGAGGAGAGAAGCACAGCAATCATGTCGAGGTCAGTGCCATGGCATGGGTATGAAGTGAACGTTTCATGTGCCTGTACAAGGCCTGTCTCTAGAAACTGGGCCTGTGTGTTTCACGCCATGTTCATTAGAGTCTTGGTATTTCATACGGAATATTGTCAGCGGTTGGAAGTACGAGCAGGACTGTGTAGCTATCTGGACATTCACTGCATGTACAATCATGTAGATCTACTGCATGTACTGTTGAATGCACATTTGCACGGTTCATGCGTGTCTCAGACTCTGTATAGGTCACTGTTTACAGTAAAAACCTGTCTTTAGAGGGGAAGTTAAGGCAAAAATTAAAATTTCACCAGTTGTAGTCTTCGGGGTGCTGAGTCGAATGGTCTTGGTCCGAGGAAGCTGAGACGCTCCCTTCCAACTTGAATCCCAATCGAACTCGCGCACTTCCACCGAAACTGGGTGACTGCGCCCTACTAGATGGGGATTTGTATGCAAAATGTCACTAAAAGCGCCATTTCGTTCTTATAAAAGCACAGATGACCGCGATTGGCCCATATGTTGTAGTCTTTTGGACGCTGAGTCGATTGGTTTTGGTCCGAAAAGGCTGCGATGCAGCGTTCCTCCTTTATTCCCAATCGAACATGGTTGAACAAGCGGTCACGTGCTCCTGGGTGCCCAAATCACCTGGTCACCACGCCAGCAGGCGACAACTTTCACACCAAGGTTCAACTCGAGTTCAACTCGAGTGACAGGACTGCACCCAAAAAAGGTCAAACAGGCTAGTAAGTTGTACCCAGCGGGCACGGTGACCAGGTGACTGGCGTACGCAGGAGCACGTGACCGCTTGTTCAACCATGTTCGATTGGGAATAAAGGAGGAACGCTGCATCGCAGCCTTTTCGGACCAAAACCAATCGACTCAGCGTCCAAAAGACTACGACATATGGGCCAATCGCGGTCATCCGTGCTTTTATAAGAACGAAATGGCGCTTTTAGTGACATTTTGCATACAAATCCCCATCTACAGTGCATTTCAAAACTATAGACGCGTAGGGTTTTTGAAATATTTCAAATTTGGCTGGAACTTTTTGAGAATAGTTTTCGGAATATTGCTCAGGATCGCTCCACAATTACTCTCATATAGTTTCTAAAGGATTGGATAACAGACGCCCAATTTGGAAAATTTTATGCACAAAGTGATCACAGATTTTATGTGGTATAGATGCTGGCATAACGGTTTTTGCCTAGGTACGCGTCTATAGTTTTGAAATGGACTGTAGTAGGGCGCAGTCACCCAGTTTCGGTGGAAGTGCGCGAGTTCGATTGGGATTCAAGTAGGAAGGGAGCGTCTCAGCTTCCTCGGACCAAGACCATTCGACTCAGCACCCCGAAGACTACAACTGGTGAAATTTTAATTTTTGCCTTAACTTCCCCTTTAACGGGTGCAGTGGAATCTATCCGGATACCACAGGATTCCTCTTGATACAGCCCAGGGAGGCATGCGCGACCCACAATATATTATTCATGTCATATTGATCAGCATGATGTCATCTTTGGTTCGCCTCATGCTCAACCATGTCAATGTTTCTTTATGTACATGTATATGAACAAGGTATAATCGCACACGTACACACACACACACACACACACACACACACACACACCACACACTCACACACACACACCATGTACCGTGTACGCCCGCCGCAAGAGAAGCACGCAAATCTGCAAATGCACTGGATGTGCACCCACAGATTTTCTCTTTATAGCAACAATAGCGGATCTGATTCTGATTGAAACAGATCAAGACAAGCGCCAGATAACTGTCTAATCCACACAACTGGCGAAGCCATGTGAATCGACCCCCCAATGCACACCTGGTCTACACCACACGGCGTACATCGGAATAGGACGGCCAAGACAGATACCTATGCACACCCTTCACTTGCTGGGACACACACACACACACACACACACACACACACACACAGACATGAATGCACAAACTCACACGTGCACACACACACACGTGCACACAAACACACACACATACACACACACAATGCATCACACATCACACTTTTACATAATGTATGTACTTCGAAGTACTCCAGTGCTGCATGCAGTCCATGCTGCGAACTACAGTAAAAACCTGTCAAGGCGACCACTAACAACCAGTACGAAGGCATGTCAACATGAGCAGGAGGCCACCTGTACACAAAGACCACATTTGTAAGGTCTGTTGAGCGGTCGCCTTAGACAGGTTTGACTGTGCAATTTTAGGGTCGAACCGCGACCTGCAAAAAGCTTCTGCACGTGTGAAAGTTCACCAGCGGTGTCGGAAGATATTGTAGGGTGGTTCGGTCAGCCACCTGAAGTACAATTTACTCGTGGGTTTGGGGTGGCTACTCTGAAATTTTTCGATATTTCAAGCCCAGATGAGTGCATTTTATTGATTGACGAGGTACCTGAGGCAAAGAGTGGTACGGTCAATATCTTAGTGACCGTAGCATGTCCGACGCCCCTGCATGATAAGGTACGGTACGAAGTTCGCGTCATCACAGATGCATATACGAGTAGCTTACTCCATTTGTGTGTGTGTGTGTGTGTGTGTGTGTGTGTGTGTGTGTGTGTGTGTGTGTGTGTGTGTGTGTGTGTGTGTGCGTGTGCGTGCATGAGAGAGAGAGAGAGAGCGGGAGGGAGGGAGGGAGAGAGAGAGAGAGAGAGAGCTATCTGGCCAGGCGCCACTGATTGGCCACATACCAGACCTGCTTGAAGGCGGAAAATTATTTATTATTTATTATTATTAAGCAAGGGGAGTCCCAACAGGCTACGGCCTTTTTACTGGGAACCCTAGGTGATGTTTAGTCATGTTGATGACCAGGGCAAGAGACTTGGCCTGTTGACAGTCAGTGATGGTGGTGGTGGTGGTGGTGATGTTCTTGTCTTTCTTGTTGTCTGTGCAGCCTGTATCAGGATGCTGTGGAATATGTAGCTGCGTATAACAGTACACTGGCGGTGGAGCGACGGCGGCGACCAGAGCATTGGGATGTTTACACTCACATGTTAGTGCACTGCTGTGTAATCCAACTCTAGTGCACATGACTGCCTGCTCTCCTGTTTGCAATGCATGTTCTGTATTTTTTTAAATTGCTACTGCGTAATTTCTGATAATGACAGGTTCTTTTCAGGTGTTTATAGATATGTGGAATGCAGTTTTATTGGCTGGCTCTTGGTACCGTTGTTGATGGTGCTGGCGATAACGCCGGTGGTGAGTTTTGACGTGGCAATGATGTTTGCTCCCTGATGTGTATGCTGCTGTACATGTAAGTTTTGTGCATGCTACACTTTCAACTCGGGCTGCAGAAGTCCTGGTTGTACATGTGCCGTATGGCACGGCCCAGATTAGCGGGGTTCCCCAGTAAAGGCAGCACTGCCAGTGGCATTGCATGCCACTCTCGTGACTGCACTGTGAATTTGTTATGACATGCATGCGTGCTGTTTGAATCCTGACACACGGCACCCATCAGTAGACTCTGTTTGTGTTCTTCTTCTTCCTGCCGTGTACATGTAGATGGCAGCGTCCATGCCATCTTTGGCGGCGCAGGTCAGATCGTCAGCACTGCCGCGACGCAGGTAGAGTGTACGCGTATGCAGCTCGCCGATGGAAGGTCAACAAGGGCTGGACAGCGCAGGCCGTCAAAGAGCCACCAGCACCTGGTATGTTAACGTAGTTCCCGTATTTTGCATTTAGAAGCCTTGCTTGATAGTTAACATGTTTTCGATTTCGACAGCATGTTACAAGGCGAGGGCGCATAGTGCTCCTCTGACTGCAACCATAACTCGGTTGGCAGAATCCAATACGATCCAAATGGTCGCAAGACCGGGTCTCTGCCAACCGGGTTACGGTTGTAGTCAGGAGCACTATGCGTCCTCGCCTTGTGACATGTTCCCGTGTTTTCCAGAGTATAAGCCGCACTTTAAGCACCAGTAGACCTACTAGTAATCCACCCAAACAAAGTCGGTGCTGCGTATACTACCATGGTATACTACCATACTACCATACTACCATACTACCAATGTACCATGGTCAA